GTAATACAGGTGCTGGTCATAAAATTAGAATATCATGAAAAAGTAGATTGATTTCAGTAATTCCATTTAAAAAGTGAAACTTGTATATTATATTCATACATTACATACAAACTCATATATTTCAGATGTTTATTTTGTTTAATTTTGATGATTACAAATGACAACAAATGAAAATCTCAAATTCATCATATCAGAAAATTAGAATATTACTGAAGACCAATAAAAACAAAGGATTTATAGAAATGTTGGCCAACTGAAAAGTATGAACATGAAAAGTATGAGCATGTACAGCACTCAGTATTTAGTTGGGCCTCCTTTGGCCTGTATTACTGCAGCAATGCGGCGTGGCATGGAGTCGATCAGTCTGTGGCACTGCTCAGGTGTTATGATAGCCCAGGTTGCTCTAATAGTGGCTTTTAGCTCTTCTGAATTGTTGGGTCTGGTGTATTGCATCTTCTTCTTCACAATACCCCATAGATTTTCTATGGGGTTAAGGTCAGGAGAGTTTGCTGGCCAATTAAGAACAGGGATACCATGGTCCTTCAACCAGGTACTGGTAGCTTTGGCACTGTGTGCAGGTGCCAAGTCCTGTTGGAAAATGAAATCTGCATCTCCAAAAAGTTGGTCAGCTGCAGGAAGCATGAAGTGCTCTAAAACTTCCTGGTATGTGGCTGCGTTGACCCTGGACCTCAGAAAACACAATGGACCAACACCAGCAGATGACATGGCACCCCAAACCATCACTGACTGTGGAAACTTTACACTGGACTTCAAGCAACGTGGATGAAGTGCCTCTCTTCTTTTCCTCCAGACTCTGGGACCTTGATTTCCAAAGGAAATGCAAAATTTACTTTCATCAGAGAACATGACTTTGGACCACTCACCAGCAGTCCAGTCCTGTTTCTCTTTAGCCCAGGCAAGACGCTTCTGACGCTGTCTGTGGTTCAAGAGTGGCTTGACACAAGGAATGCGACAGCAGAAACCCATGTCTTTCATACGTCTGTGTGTGGTGGTTCTTGAAGCACTCACTCCAGCTGCAGTCCACTCTTTGTGAATCTCCCCCACATTTTTGAATGGGTTTTGTTTCACAATCCTCTCCAGGGTGCGGTTATCTCTCTTGCTTGTACACTTTTTTCGACCACATCTTTTCCTTCCCTTCGCCTCTCTATTAATGTGCTTGGACACTGAGCTCTGTGAACAGCCAGCCTCTTTAGCGATGACCTTTTGTGTCTTGCCCTCCTTGTGCAAGGTGTCGATGGTCGTCTTTTGGACAACTGTCAAGTCAGCAGTCTTCCCCATGATTGTGTAGCCTATAGAACTAGACTGAAAGACCATTTAAAGGCTTTTGCAGGTGGTTTGAGTTAATTAGCTGATTAGAGTGTGGCACCAGGGGCCATCAATTTTGAACCTTTTCACAATATTCTAATTTTCTGATATGATGAATTTGAGATTTTCATTTGTTGTCATTTGTAATCATCAAAATTAAACAAAATAAACATCTGAAATATATGAGTTTGTATGTAATGTATGAATATAATATACAAGTTTCACTTTTTAAATGGAATTACTGAAATCAATCTACTTTTTCATGATATTCTAATTTTATGACCAGCACCTGTACGCATAGAGTAGAGCGGATGTAGATTTGACCAATCAGAGGCCTTCTGTCTGCGACACTGTCTGTGGTCACCTATGGTTTGGGAGAGGTGCAGCAGAATGTCTGAGGAAGGGTCGGGGACGTCTCTGCATCCACCACGACACCCACGCAGACGACCTAGTTGGGTTCGGTCGCTCCGTCCCCCGCTTGTTCCTTCCCCAGTCCACCAGGGTTCCCCGACCGGCTCTGGAGCCCACTGCTGGTTCTGCTGCACAGTAGTCGACCAAAATCACAGCCGATTTTGAAATTCACCCCAGACATTTCTTTAGGAATGAAAAGCAGGACATGTCTGGGAAAAATAGGCCATCTGGCCCCCCTACCATATCAACAATCTGATGTTTCAGTGAGTGAGTGCTTGTTGCTATGATGCGTCTTTGCTCAGCAGCTTGGCTCGTTGTAAACCAATCAATCAGAGCACAGCTCATCTAAATATTCATGATCAAACCATAAAAGGAAGAAAAACCTGTGGTTTCATTCTAGGGCTTTTAACCAGGCTGCATTAGGGCTCATAGAACAGCTAATATGCCATTTTCAGCCCAACCAATGTTACACACCCTATTAGAGACCTGAATGACCTGATACCCTATAGAATCATTCTATCACCCTATTAGAGACCTGAAGGACCAGATACCCTATAGAATCATTCTATCACCCTATTAGAGACCTGAAGGACCTGATACCCTATAGAATCATTCTATCACCCTATTAGAGACCTGAATGACCTGATACCCTATAGAATCATTCTATCACCCTATTAGAGACCTGAAGGACCAGATACCCTATAGAATCATTCTATCACCCTATTAGAGACCTGAAGGACCTGATACCCTATAGAATCATTCTATCACCCTATTAGAGACCTGAAGGACCAGATACCCTATAGAATCATTCTATCACCCTATTAGAGACCTGAAGGACCTGATACCCTATAGAATCATTCTATCACCCTATTAGAGACCTGAAGGACCAGATACCCTATAGAATCATTCTATCACCCTATTAGAGACCTGAAGGACCTGATACCCTATAGAATCATTCTATCACCCTATTGGAGACCTGAAGGACCAGATACCCTATAGAATCATTCTATCACCCTATTAGAGACCTGAAGGACCAGATACCCTATAGAATCATTCTATCACCCTATTAGAGACCTGAAGGACCAGATACCCTATAGAATCATTCTATCACCCTATTAGAGACCTGAAGGACCAGATACCCTATAGAATCATTCTATCACCCTATTAGAGACCTGAAGGACCAGATACCCTATAGAATCATTCTATCACCCTATTAGAGACCTGAAGGACCAGATACCCTATAGAATCATTCTATCACCCTATTAGAGACCTGAAGGACCAGATACCCTATAGAATCAATCTATCACCCTATTAGAGACCTGAAGGACCAGATACCCTATAGAATCATTCTATCACCCTATTAGAGACCTGAAGGACCAGATACCCTATAGAATCATTCTATCACCCTATTAGAGACCTGAAGGACCAGATACCCTATAGAATCATTCTATCACCCTATTAGAGACCTGAAGGACCAGATACCCTATAGAATCATTCTATCACCCTATTAGAGACCTGAAGGACCAGATACCCTATATAATCATTCTATCACCCTATTAGAGACCTGAAGGACCAGATACCCTATAGAATCATTCTATCACCCTATTAGAGACCTGAAGGACCAGATACCCTATAGAATCATTCTATCACCCTATTAGAGACCTGAAGGACCTGATACCCTATAGAATCATTCTATCACCCCTTTAAGGAGGAAACACATGAACTGAGACAGAGATAAAGGAAGTCATCTATGATAGATATACAATAGCTTTAAACACAGGAGTTAACCCCAGCTTCTATCTTCCAGACATCTCACATATTTACATCTTGGAACATGTTACCATAACAACGGCACTCTGGCCTCATCAGGGAACTTCCCATAAGTAACAACGATCAAAACGTCTCACAGGAAGGATGGGAACGTCATCTGATCCTGTTCAGTTAAAAACAGAGTTACAAATGAAATATGACATCATATTATCCAACTTTAGGCTTTTAGGGACAGGAAGGATCTGCTGAAACTGTCAGTATTCTGAAATCCTGTCTGTCTGGAGCGTCTGTGCTTTAAAGATAATGCTGTAAAAAAAAAAAAACGTTCAATGTTTTCCATTGGTTTTTGATTCAATGTAATATTCTTCTATTCGCATCACCTTTTTTTTTTTTTCAGGTGAGTTCCAAGAAAAAAAACAGCCTTGTTTATCCCATCACCTCAAAAGATGATGGGAGTAGAAATTAAACTCTTTACTCCAATCACATAAACGTTCATATTTATCAAAGTTTATGGAAGAAAAATTGTCTCATTGGAATCTGCCTTTTGTTTTAGACTGAATTTTAAACACCCAATTTTTGCTGCCACATTTTTTGCAGGTGATTTTTTGCAGCTGCATTTTTTGCATTTTCCACATTTAAATGAAAATGACTCTTAATTAAAAACACTTATCATTTATTGAACAGTATGGAATAATTTCATAATTAAAGTACTTTCAGTTTGTCAGTTTGAATTCTGAGTATGACTGGACTTTTCCTTCAATCTTTTATTCAGTGTACAGAGAAATGAATCAGTTACTAAAGATTTTCAGAAATGTTTTAAGTTAAATTGTTAATAAACATCTACATGCTAATATTGGAGCCTGCATGTGTAACTGCTGAGATATTTTCATGTGCCAAACAAAATTACTGTTACATCAAGCTGTTATTCAGACAAAAATGTAATATATATATATATATATATATATATATATATATATATATATCATAAGTGATAAATTTATACAGAGTTAAAGAGATATTCAAAATATCTTTTAAGCTGACATTTTACTCCTCATATTTCACCATATTTCTTAGTTCTCCTAGATGGCAGCAAAATACTCCAACTCCCTGCATCCTGCATTATATATAAGCACCACCAGAGGGCGCCAGATCCATACAAAGACCAAAACTACTAGGAAACGGTAAAAAAAAAAATACTAAATCTAAATAAATAAACATTAAGTTTATAAATAAATAAACATATTGATTTTACTCTAAACAAAAAATTGACGAAGTCACAGTTATATTATTGAGACGCAGCCTTTAATATGGTCTGAAAATAAAAAAGAAGTTGGGCAAAGTTAAAATATGTATAAATTATGCTAAATGTGATTGAATCAGATATGCTCTGTGCAGGGACAGACTTCCTTCCCTCTCCTCTGTTGCAGCAGCACCTGCCTTGTTTCTTGCTGCTCTCCTGTTTCTCCCCAGATTATGAGTCTCAGAGGAAAGGGACGGATTTTCTGCATGCATCATCCCCCCTCCGCCCACCCCACAGCACGCATCTTCTGCAGCGTCCTAACCTGCTCTGCTGCTCATTCCTCACTGCAGCTCAGCACAGCTCAGTCCAGCTGGTTCAGTTCAGGTGGTGCTGATGGTTCAGGAGGCATTCAGCGCCTGTAAGGAAATGTGAGGAATGCGTCGCTTGGAATAAGTAGATGGTCACTAAAGTCTGGCAGGATTCATGGAGACAACAGAAGAGCGCGTCTGTTACAAAGTTGGACAAGGTAAGACCAGACTGGGAATGAAGAGTCTGCATTGGATCCATTTTTTTCTGCATACATTCACCTGAATCCCCTTTAATAAACAGAAACCATGGAAACGCCCTACAGAGCTGGCTACTCTGTTTAACTCCCCTGGAATCTTTTGTTAGGGAGACGCATAGGCTGGGGATTTTCTCTTCTGCATTTGATTGTTTGGAAATAAAAACAATGGACTGTTCTTTATGCGCTGTTTCTTTTTAACATTTTTGTTCTCCATGTTCTCCCTGCAAGGGGAAATCTGGGAAGGTCCCAGGAAAAGATGCCAATCTGGAGGAGAAATACTTCTGTTGGTAAGACACACTTGCTTTATCCTGACAAAAGAAATAAATGTTACTTTAGATGAAAAGGGGCGATTGTCAGAGGATGACAAGATGACACTGATAAACTTGGTGCAGCAAAACAAACCAAAAAACATTTTTTATGTCCCTATATGGAACTACAGAAGCGTTTTGAATACACTTGAAAAAAGAAAATAAAGTAGTCTATTTTTCTGAATTAACATGATGTTGTTTTTTTTTTTTTACAAAAATGTGGTAACAGATATCATTTGATATTTCATTTATTTTCATATAGGGTTTCATTTACAGAGTCATTTCATTATTTCAAATTTTATTTATCACCATTGCACCGTATTTCTAAATTAGTGTGCACATTCTGGTTTACTGGTTCTGTTATTATTCTTTTAATACTCTGTTTCTGTTGCTCTAGTCCGTTGACTGAGGAAGCAGCAGGTGGTTGAGGGGTTGAGTTAATTTGGACTATACCACATCAGTGCCATATGTTAAGTTTCTCTGAAACTAAAATAGAATGCTTTATCTTTTTTTTTCTCCAGTGAATTCAATACACTTCTGTAGTTCCATATGAAGGCATGAAAAAATATTAATTTTTATTTTTTTTGTGCTGCACCAGGATTATCAATATCCCTTAATCTTGTCTTTAAGTTTCAATTCTCTCCAATCTTGACGTGATGACAAGATTAGGAGACACTGATAATCCTGGTGCAGCACAACAAACCAAGAAATAAACATGTTTTCATATTCCTATATGGAGCTACAGAAGCGTATTGAATTTATTTGAAAAAAAAGAAAAATCAGTCTGTTTTTCTGAATTAACAAGATAATTTTTATAAAAATGATTTAAAACTAAATTTCGGTTTATTCAATTTCAATTCAATTTATCTTTATTGTCATTATCACAAGAACAACGAAATTTTAAAAAGTGCCATCGATCAGTGCATATACTTAAAAACAAAAACAAAAATCACTGTCACCACCATTTACACAAAATATAAGAAATAAATAACAATCACTGATACAAAAACAACTCATAAGAATAGTACATTCTCACACACACCATCCATGATGATTAATGGTTATTTTTGGTTGCATTTAGTTTGGTTATTGCTGTCGGGTAAAAACTGTCTCTAAGACGGTTGGTTGTTGTTCTAATTGCTATTACCGGAATTAGCAAGATAATTTTTTATTAAAGATACATTTTAAAAACTTTATTTCGCTAAATCAACAAACTGAAAAGCAGAGGAAGTGGGGAAACAACTGTGCCATGAGGAAGGGCCCAGTTAACAAACGTTAAAAGTTAACAAACTAATAGTGATTTCATCTACATAACTAAGATGCAAAGCATTTCCCAGTTTTTTCAATTCCAAAAGAAAGTAAAAATGAGTTAAACTCAACAAACGGGACGAATTGAAGCTTTTCTGAAGCGTCTCACGCTTGGACATCTGCAACAGAACATCCTCTATGAAATCACAGCAGCATTATGTCATTGCTTCACTTATTTTTGTAAAAATTATCTAATTAAATCAGAAAAAAACAGTTAATTTCCTTTTTTCCTAGGTGAATACAAAATGCTTCTGTATGGATAAAAATATAAAAAATGGGATGCTATTAAAGGAACCCAGTTATGGTCCAAATTAGTTGGCAAATAAAATGTATTCATATAGAACCTTTAAAAAATGAGCCGTTGCAGATTAACAGCAACATTCAGTTAAATTTGCTAATTTATTGTCCCTTTATAGGGCACTCAGTGAAATACTTAAAAAATCTAAATTTAGAGACACCTTCACTGGAAAAAATGATCTAAAAATAAGTAGAAATGTCTTAAATTAAGTGTATTTATGCTTAATTTGAGTAGGTAAATGAGATAGTTTGCCAATGGAATGAGTATTTTTGCTCTTAAAATAAGAAAATTAGATAAAATGCACCTGAAATAAGACAATGCAATTGTGTTTTCTTATTTTGAGTGTAAATTGTCTTGTTCCATTGGCAAAATCTCTCTTTTACCTACTAAATCCAAGAACAAATACAATTATTTTAAGAAAAAACAACTTATCTAGATTTCGATTCTTTTTCCAGTGTTATTACTTTTATAACGTTAAAAAAAATATGGATATTTTGATGGTAAAAACTAACGTCAATGTAATAACAAATAACTCCAACTTGCTTGGATATATGAAGAAAAATAACAAAAGTCCTTCTAAAAGAAATTCATGAAAAACACTGAGAGCGAAAGAAAAACATTTTATTTTGGTAAAACTTAACCTTAGAGGCATTAATGCTGATACTGGCACTTACATTTTATAGTTTATAAAACTAAATATAATTGTTAACTAGGCTTATTAACTTTTTATTTTAGTTTTTTACCTTTTTCCTTGCTTTGTCATCTTTTTTTCAACTTAATTTCCAGTAGGTAATATATCATACAAGGGCTCATCTAATTGGTCAAAATAAGATGTACATCCATGTAGCAGCATCTTTGCTGAATGGATGCATATAGATCTAGTGCTTCTAGACCTCACTGAGTTGACCGGGGGGAGGGGGACTCCATTTTTTAAGGGGTATGCAGGTGATCAAAACCTTTAACTTGCCCTATAAAGGGTTAAACATCCCATCTAAAAACATTTGGAAATATAAAGATTATTCTGCACTGGAAAATATCTAAATCTAGATTAGTTATTTTTTCTTGAAATAAGTGCATTTGTTCTTGAATTGAGGAGGTAAAAGAGGTATTTTGCCAATGGAACAAGACAATTTACTCTTGGAATAAGAAAGCACAATTGGATTGCCTTATTTCAAGTGCATGTTATCTAATTATCTTATTTTAAGAGTAAAAATACTAATACCATTGGCAAACTATCTCATTTACCTGCTGAAATTAAGGGTAAATACACTTAATTTAAGACATTTTCACTTATTTCTAGATCGTTTTTCCAGTGTGTCCTTTTTGCTCATGTTTTGCTGTACACTGCAAAAAATATAAATCTCAATAAGTTATTTTTTCTTAAAATAAGTGTGTTTTTCCTTGATTTGAGGAGGTAAGTAAGACACTTTGCCAATGGAACAAGACAATTTCCTTTTAAAATAAGAAAAAACTATTTTATCGTCTTATTTCAAGTAAATATTATCTAACTATCTTATTTTAAGAGTGAAAATACTCATTCCATTGGCAAATCATCTTATTTACCTGCTCAAATTAAGGCTAAATATACTTAATTTAAGCCATTTTTTACTTATTTCTGGATTGTTTTTGCAGTGTAGTTATTGCGTAGAGAATCAGATCACACTGGAAAAAATCTAAATCTGGATGAGTAATTTTTTCTTAAAATAAGTGCATTTGTTCTTGAATTGAGGAGGTAAAAGAGACATTTTGCCAATAGAACAAGACAATTTACATTTAAAATAAGGAAACACAATTACATTGTCTCATTTCAAGTGCCTTGTATCTACATATCTTATTTTAAGAGTAAAAAATACTCATTACATTGGCAAATCATCTCATTTAACTACTCAATTTAAGGGTAAATACACTTAATTTAAGAAATGTTTTTCTTTTTTCTGATCGTTTTTCCAGAGAGAGCTCGATAAAGATAAATCAGCACATGTTGATGTGTTTGAAATCTCATTCTGGTTCTTCGGGAATGTGTCATCTTATGCTTCGTGGGAAGAAATGCAGTCCAAAATACGTCAGCATTTTCCAAATCTGTGAGCTGTTCAGACTTGCAGGCATCAAAGGAAGTTGCTTGGTGAAGAAAGAGTTAAAAAGCAGAACGTTTAGATCATGGAAATATCAACTGTACAATCTGTAAATGCAATGCTTAAGCAGCTCAAAGTGTCAGAACAAGCAAATCAGTTGTTTAATAATGAATCAGTGTAGTAACTGATAGCTGGGTGAGTGTGTGAGATCATCTGTCCTGCTGCAGCTTGCTGCAGGTATGTGATGCATAATTGAACAACCATTTACCCCGTCTGACCACTGCAGGTCTATCTCAGTGTTTCTCCAGGCTTTGTAAAGTTGAGCTGCTCTTTCTGACTGGGTTAGTTTCCTTTTAAGACATGAGAAGACAAGTCGGAGCACGATAAGGATCCTTAATGAAACACAAAGGAGGACGAACAGTGAAATTGTTACCGAATTATTGGGAAAGATTTGCAGGTAGAGACAAGTTGGAGGCGGTACTAGCTTCTCAACGACTGCTGCTTACCTCATCAAGGCTGCACTTTAAAACATGAGAGAATTGTTCTAAGTGAAATTTATTATTGCTCACATTTGGGTATACAAAATGAAATAATAAATCTGTTTGTTTACACTGCAAAAAATTTAAATCTAAATAAGTGCATTTTTTCTTGAATTGAGGAGGAAAGTGAGACACTTTGCCAATGGAAAAAGACAATTTTCATTTGAAATAAGAAAAAAATATTGCTTAGTCTTATTTTAAGTGCATATTTTCTAATTATCCTATTTTAAGTGTAAAAATACTCATTCCATTGGCAAACTGTCTTATTTTCCTGCTCAAATTAAGGGTAAATATACTTGATTTAATAAATTTTTACTTAATTTCAGATAGTTTTTGCAGTGTAAGTATAAGTTCAGGGTGCCACTGAATTCTCTTCAGCTTTGTGTTAATAAATACCCGACACAGACCAAACCAGTGGGTTTTTTAAAGGCTTAGATTAAAATAAATGCAATAAAACCACAGACATAAAATCTACACCGCTGGGAAAAAAAATCTCTGGCTTACATGTTTCAGATTATCTAAATACTTCTATTATAATTTCATTACTCAGGCACATGTGTTTTCTTTTAGGGTCTCTTTTAATAAAAGCAAGAACAGGTTTGGACTAGGCCACTCCTAAAATTCATTTTTAATTTGAGGGAGACCTAAACTGGTTTGGTGGGGATTGGTCTGGCAGTAATAATGGAGCAATTAGCTTTACACTGCAAAAAATCTAAATCTAGATAAGTCATTTTTTCTTAAAATAAGTGCATTTGTTCTTGAATTGAGGAGGTAAAAGACATTTTTCCAATGGAACAAGACAATTTACACTTAAAATAAGTAAACACAATTGCATTGTCTTATTTCAAGTGCATTATATTCAATTATCTTATTTTAAGAGTAAAAATACTCATTCCATTGGCCATCTATCTAATTTACCTGCTCAAATTAAGGGTGAATACACATAATTTAAGAAATTTTGACTTATTTTTATATCGTTTTTGCAGTGGAAGCTGGTATTTTATCACAGTTAATTTGACATTTAGGGGGGGGGGGGGGGGGTTATCATTAGGCAATACTAGGCAGCTGCCTAGGGCTCCAGGTTCCTGGAAAACTCTGTTTACATGTATGGTTAATACAACTACACTGCAAAAAACGATCTAGAATTAAGTAAAACTGTCTTAAATTAAATGTATTTACCCTTAATTTGAGTAGGTAAATGAGATGATTTGCCAATGGAATGAGTGTTTTTATCTTAAAATAAGATATTTAGATAATATGCACTTGAAATAACACAAGGCAATTGTGTTTTCTTATTTTAATTCTAAATTGTCTTGTTCCATTGGCAAAATGTCTCTTTTATCTCCTCAATCCAAGAAAATTTGCAATTATTTTAAGAAAAGTATAACTCATCTAGATTGGAATTTTTTCCAGTGAAATGCATAAATGGAATAAAAGCCCCAAGTTAATCTGAAAGTGCTATACACTGCAAAAACGATCCTGAAATAAGTAAATATATCTTAAATTAAGTGTATTTACCCTTAATTTGAGTAGGTTAATAAGATGATTTGCCAATGGAAGGAGTATTTTTACTCTTAAAATAAGATAATTAGATAATATGCACTTGAAAAAAAAATACAGTAATAAAATTATTTAAATTTAAATTGTCTTGCTGCATTGGCAAAGTGTCTAATTTCCCTCCTCAATTCAATAGAAAATGCACAAATTTTAGGCGAAAATGACGTATTTAGAGTTAATCTTTTTTGCAGTGTATAATGTCGTTACGGAAACTAACCAGAGAAAAAGGTTGGAGCATCGCATCTTTAACATGTTGTCTGTGATTGCAGAGAAGGAACGCCGTGTCAAAGCCAACGCACGGGAATACAATGAGAAGTTCGCATATGCGGTGAGGGGGAATCACTATTTATTAGAATTTGATTCCCAGTTTAACCACAGCTGAAGCCTGTATGATTTCATTTGTCTTTTCTTTCTATTCATTTATTGTCGTGCAGAACAATCACATTAAGACCTCAAAGTACAATATCTTCACCTTCCTGCCCATCAACTTGTTTGAGCAGTTCCAGAGGGTGGCCAATGCTTATTTTGTGGTGCTGCTCATACTTCAGGTAGGACAAACCTTCTCATCATGTTAGATCACCTGATAATCACGTTAAAGGAATAGTACACCCAAAACATGATTAGCCTTCATTTTCTACTCACCCCCATGCTGAACAACACTCTGGAGTACTTTTTTGATATCTCAAATGCATCTGGAGATCTGGGAGGCTTCTTGCTGTCTGCTGACATTCAAATAATGGAGGTCTATGGCGCCCGAGGCAGAAAGGTCCATAAAAGTCCACAAAAAACGTGTCAATATTCCTCCATACTGCTCGTCCAATGTATTCCAAGTGTCCTGAGTGGGTAGCGTCCAGAATTTACTCGAAACGAAGTCATTTAGAATGTTTTTAGAGCATAAACAGTAGTGTATAGGATTTCCTAAAAGCGTGTTCACGAGTCTACGGAAACCGCGGCAGACCAAACCAGATGAAAGTGCGCATTCAGCTCGGCAAAGAACTCATGCTCTTCCTCAACACTGAAGTCCTCAGTCATTTTTCTTTCGTTGTTTCTTTCTTTGCACAGGTAAACAGCACATTTCTTCTCCTACGCTTGCATTATCGGCAGAGCAGACGCTGAATGCGCACTTTCATCTGGTTTGGTCTGCCGCGGTTTCCGTAGACTCGTGAACGCGCTTTTAGGAAATCCTATACACTACTGTTTATGCTCTAAAAACATTCTAAATGACTTCGTTTCAAGTAAATTCTGGATGCTACCCACTCAGGACACTTGGAATACATTGGACGAGCAGTATGGAGGAATATTGACACGTTTTTTGTGGACTTTTATGGACCTTTCTGGCTCGGGCGCCATAGACCTCCATTATTTGAATGTCAGCAGACAACAAGAAGCCTCCCAGATCTCCAGATGCATTTGAGATATCAAAAAAGTACTCCAGAGTGTTGTTCAGCATGGGGGTGAGTAGAAAATCAAGGCTAATCATGTTTTGGGTGTACTATTCCTTTAAAGCACTGGAAAAAAGATAGATAAGTCATTTTTTTTTCTTAAAATACGTTTATTTGTTCTTGGATTGAGGAGATAAATGAGACAGTTTGCCAGTGGAACAAGACAGTTTACACTCAAAATAAGAAAAAAACAATTGCATTGTCTTATTTCAAGTGCATATTATCTAATTATCTTATTTTAAGAGTAGAAATACTCCATTGGCAAACTATCTCATTTATCTACTCAAATTAAGGGTGAATACTGCAAAAACGATCTAGAAATAAGTAAACATTTCTTAAATTAAGTGTAATTTATCTTTATTCTAAGTAGGTAAATAAGAAAGTTTGCCAATGGAGTATTTCTACTCTTAAAATAAGATAATTAGATTATGCACTTGAAATAAGACAATGCAATTGTGTTTTCTTATTTTAAGTGTAAATTGTCTTGTTCCATTGGCAAAATGTCTCTTTTATCTCCTCAATTCAAGATCAAATGCACTTATTTTAAGGAAAAATTACTTATCTAGATTTCGATTTTTTCCAGTGAATACACGTAATTTAAGAATTTTTTACTTATTTCTAGATTGTTTTTATCCGTGAGCAAAGAGACTCATAGAGATTTTCTTCATAGTTGATTCCAGAAATCTCGTCCCTGTCCTGGTTCACCACCATTGTGCCTTTGGTTTTGGTGCTGGTGATCACCGCAGTCAAAGATGCCACGGATGACTATGTAGGTGCTACGATTTCACTCATATCTGCTTTAATCACAAAACTGCTTGGTAAAAATGATTACCTTTTTAAAAATAATTCCAGTTTCGACATAAGAGTGACCAGAAAGTGAACAACCGTCAGTCTCAGGTTCTCATCAGAGGAAGGTACTTCAGTCAGATCGCTTTTAAACATCTGCTGCAAACATTTAAACTCATCCACTCACTGTGGACTTTATCTGTTTAAGTTTACAGAGGGAGAAATGGATGAATGTGCGAGTGGGCGACATCATCAAACTGGAAAACAACCAGTTTGTTGCTGTGAGTAGAAAACACTTTTCTAAGATAACTTTAATAAAAAAACTTTTCACACCTTTTCATTGAAATGTTATGTAAAAGATTAACAGAAGGTATATTAACTCATTGGGGTGGAGTTGTAGAAAAAGGACAGATGGATTTTACACTTTAAATAAAAATCCGTTTCCATTTAGCCTCCATTATGCTGACCAGTGGTGCCAAAAGTACACACACTGCACAAACGATCTAAAAATGAGTAAAAATGTCTTAAATTAAGTGTATTTATCCTTAATTTGAGCAGATAATTAAGATGATTTGCCAATGGAATGAGTATTTTGACTCTTAAAATAAGATAATTAGATTATATGAAGCTCTAGCGAAAGTTCAATTGAAGAAACTCTGACTTACCTCACATCATCAGAAGCGGATCCGTCTCTGAAGCGAGCCAATCAGCTTTGAACTACTCCACCATGAAGCCAAATCAGCGTCCTGCTTCCACTTTATAAACTCCCTCAAATCTCACCACAGCCGCTATCCTGCAATCGCAATGTCGGATTTCGATCCAGACGACAATTCAATTTTCCCCGCTCGGAGAAACTCCCGTCTAGCCGCTCTCATCTCCTTCTTCCGCGTTACACTCCAGGGGTATATTGCCAGGCTCCGACCTAGACTCTGCTCAGATGTCTTAACGAGCCTCCCTCCTACCTCCTCGTGATTCATCTCCCTCGCCTTCCGCTTCAATCCGCTCCGATTCCTGGCCGCAAAAGTCATGCAAGTCCTCCGCTCCCCTCGCCAGGCGCAGAAGGCCTCCCGGATCTGTCCCAGCAGCAGTCACCACTACGCCCGCTCCTTCTCATCGTTTCGATGCAGCCTTGGACCTCTCCAGCTTCCTGATTCATAGCAGCTCCCCCGTCTAGTCCTTCTGGCGTTTAACAGCTCTCAGCCTCCCTCCGCTCCACCGGACTCTCTCACTCAATCCTTCGACGCTGTCCGCACGCTCCAAACGTGGGAATCCCTGCACTGCCACGTCATCCCTGCCGCTGTCTGCTCAGACGGACCTCCCCCTCCCCTCATTCTCATTAGGGAACGCCCGCCCTGGGCCAGCCTTAGGGTAAGACGTATTCAACCATGTTTTCATTCATAATTTTCTATCTATTTGAGTTGCTCTCATGCTTCGTCTGCCTCTATCAGGCATACTTATATTAACACACATGCTGATATTTTCCCTAGCCTCGTTCTAAATTATTCAGGGGAATATTTTATTTAGTCTCTTATTCTTCCCTCCCCTGAAGTCGATCAGCAGGTGACGTCACCGTTTTTCTAAAATCATCCGATCTCCGTCTACCAGAGATCTTTCTATTGGCCAAAATTTTTTGCCGCATTCAGCATCTATCGTGATTACTCAGAGCTTCTGCAGGAGGGCCATCCGATCAGTCTGTCCCCGCCGTGCACGCTTCATATATATCGTACCTCAGTCTTAGCAGCCCGTCATCTTACCACCCCTTATTATTACTTCTGATTATCGTTCTGGCTTCTTCTTCTTCAAAAAAAAAAACAAAAAAAAAACACACAAACTGATGTTCTACATCAGTCATTTCTAAATGCAATTGCGCTCCTTGCTAGGTCAGCTAATTTGCCATGCGCTTATTTTTCCAAGGCCGCGCTTTCATTCCCAGTTGCTTGATCCGGCAATTTCCGTCCCTCTCCTTGGTCAGATTACTGAACGTAGGCTGCCGTTCGGATCTCCTGGTCTGACTGCTTCTAATTGGGTCAAATTTCTTTTCTATGTCGAAATTATCTATCTCCTGCCATGCTTCAAAATTTTTCGGATGCTGCATCCGTAGGTTTTGGGGGGTTCTTCAGGACAGGTGGTTCATGGCCTCTTTTATTCACACCCATTATGCTTGTGTGAGGTCTAACCCTAGCTAGCTTGCATCGTGGGGCTTTGGGAAGGAATCGCGTCCGCCCACTGCGATAACCTCGTAGTAGTTGAAGCCACTAATAAGTCTCTACTCCTCCCAGTCTCTCATGCCTTCATCAGAAGCATCACTGGCAGCAGTCACTAACGTTTCATCATCTCAGTGCGTTATGTTTAGGCATTCAGCACTTTTATTCGCCCAAGCATTACCCTACGTCCACTCATGGTTCTTCACCACCTTAGGATACTCTTAGAATCGCGTGGCCTTCCCTCTAGTAGGTAATCTGGGCATTCGTTCTGGACCGAGCAGCTGCATTGCAGCTACTCGCGGGGTTCTGAGGCTTCCCTCAGCTCTGGGCCGATGGCTCACCAGCCTATACCTCATTCATCCGCCCAGAACTCTCACCAATTCTCTCAGCTCAGTGCTCTCTGCCTCTAGGTAACACTATTTCAAATACTGGTGGTGGTTCAACTCATTTTCATAATTTTCTGACCTAATCACGACTATCCTCTAACTCATTTTCTACTCCCACTCCTTATCAGTTTTCTTCATTATTCCCTGCTTCATGCAGTCTTCCATGCTGTCTCCTGGCTATTCATGCTATCTTCATTCTGGCTCGCATTCATGCAATCTCACCTTTATGACAGGCATTATATGCATTCTCCTGTGTGTCACGTCACGTCTGGTCTGTGTCTCGTCATGCATCCTTGACACCATTTAGCATGCATTCCCTAATGCATCAATTCTTCATATATGTAACCATCCGCAAGAATCATCCGCAAGATTCATTATCAGACTCATCCGCAAGATTCATTATCAGACTCATCCGCAAGATTCATTATCAGACTCATCTGCAAGATTCATTATCAGACTCATCCGCAAGATTCATTATCAGACTCATCCGCAAGATTCATTATCAGACTCATCCGCAAGATTCATTATCAGACTCATCCGCAAGATTCATTCCCCATGCATCACATGCTCCCTATCTGTGTCTCGTCGTGTCTCGTCATGCATCCCTTACGCCATTTTGCTTGCATTTTCAATGCATCAATATGCACCATGTCTGCGTCTCGTCATGTCTGTATCCCGTCATGTTATATGTTCTATATGGACTCATCCGCAAGATTCATTATCAGACTCATCCGCAAGATTCATTATCAGACTCATCCGCAAGATTCATTCCCCATGCATCACATGCTCCCTATCTGTGTCTCGTCGTGTCTCGTCATGCATCCCTTCGCCATTTTGCTTGCATTTCCAATGCATCAATATGCACCATGTCTGCGTCTCGTTATGTCTGTATCCCGTCATGTTATATGTTCTATATGGACTCATCCGCAAGATTCATTAACATCGTCATCATAATGGGATGCACCATCGTCATCATCATCCGCAGGATTCATCATCATCGTCATCATCGTCATGGGATCATCGTCATGGGATCATCATCGTCATCATCGTCATCATCATCATCATCATCATCATCATCATCATCATCGTCATCGTCATCATCATCGTCATGGGTAAATCATCATGGGTAAATCATCATGGGTAAATCATCATCATCATCATCATCGTCATGGGTAAATCATCATGGGTAAATCATCATGGGTAAATCATCATGGGTAAATCGTCATGGGTAAATCATCATGGGTAAATCGTCATGGGTAAATCATCATGGGTAAATCATCATGGGTAAATCATCATGGGTAAATCATCATCATCATCATCATGGGTAAATCATCATGGGTAAATCGTCATGGGTAAATCATCATGGGTAAATCATCATGGGTAAATCATCATGGGTAAATCATCATCATCATCATCATGGGTAAATCATCATGGGTAAATCGTCATGGGTAAATCATCATGGGTAAATCATCATGGGTAAATCATCATCATCATCATCATGGGTAAATCATCATGGGTAAATCATCATCATCATCATCATGGGTAAATCATCATGGGTAAATCATCATCATCATCATCATGGGTAAATCATCATGGGTAAATCATCATCATCATCATCATGGGTAAATCATCATGGGTAAATCATCATCATCATCATCATGGGTAAATCATCATGGGTAAATCATCATGGGTTCATCATCATCATCATCATGGGTAAATCATCATGGGTAAATCATCATGGGTTCATCATCATCATCATCATGGGTAAATCATCATGGGTAAATCATCATGGGTAAATCATCATCATCATCATCATGGGTAAATCATCATCATCATCATCATGGGTAAATCATCATGGGTAAATCATCATGGGTTCATCATCATCATCATCATGGGTAAATCATCATGGGTAAATCATCATCATCATCATCATGGGTAAATCATCATGGGTAAATCATCATCATCATCATCATGGGTAAATCATCATGGGTAAATCATCATGGGTAAATCATCATGGGTAAATCATCATCATCATCATCATGGGTAAATCATCATGGGTAAATCATCATGGGTAAATCATCATCATCATCATCATGGGTAAATCATCATGGGTAAATCATCATCATCATCATCATGGGTAAATCATCATGGGTAAATCATCATCATCATCATCATGGGTAAATCATCATGGGCAAATCATCATGGGTAAATCATCATCATCATCATCATGGGTAAATCATCATCATCATCATCATCGGTAAATCATCATGGGTAAATCATCATCATCATCATCATGGGTAAATCATCATCATCATCATCATGGGTAAATCATCATCATCATGGGTAAATCATCATGGGTAAATCATCATCATCATGGGTAAATCATCATGGGTAAATCATCATCATCATCATCATCGGTAAATCATCATCATCATGGGTAAATCATCATGGGTAAATCATCATCATCATCATCATCGGTAAATCATCATCATCATGGGTAAATCATCATGGGTAAATCATCATGGGTAAATCATCATGGGTAAATCATCATGGGTTCATCATCATCATGGGTTCATCATCATCATGGGTAAATCATCATCGGTAAGTTCTCGGCGTCAACCGTGGTCGCCATCCTCATCAACAACCTGGCTCGGTAAGTTGTTTGCAAACCTTCTCAGCATTTCATTACGCATTCTTTATTCTGTCCCTAGCGTATGCCCTACGAGCATACGGACTCTCCGGCCTCGACCTCGGCTTTTTGGGGGAACATCCCTATTCACATTCATCTACTCATGCATGTTAAAGCATAATTCAGCATGAATGTTCCTGCCGAGGTCTGAGCGCCAAAGACTATACTTTCTTATCAATAAATTCTTCTAATTATCTTTTCTCTCTGTGTGAGTTTTTCAGATTGAAATGAAGCTCTAGCGAAAGTTCAATTGAAGAAACTCTGACTTACCTCACATCATCAGAAGCCGATCCGTCTCCGAAGCGAGCCAATCAGCTTTGAACTACTCCACCACGAAGCCCAATCAGCGTCCTGCTTCCACTTTATAAACTCCCTCAAATCTCACCACAGCCGCTATCCTGCAATCGCAATGTCGGATTTCGATCCAGACGACAATTCACCCACCTCCATCCCCTTCTCCGCCATCGCAGCTGAATCGTCCTCCATGACACGACTTCACCTCAACCTCATCAGAGAGTATTAATCCCAGTTGTCACCATCCCTCGTCTCATCGCATTGGTCCGGCAGAAGACCACCATGTTGAGCCCGGTTCTGCCAGAGGTTTCTTCCCAAAGGGGAGTTTTTCCTCTCCACTGTCGCTTCATGCTTGCTCATCATGGACACTTCACGGTACCTGCATCACCGAGCAGGACCTCTATATCCCGAGTCTGAGTGAAGCCCCGGCGTCAGCTCCCTCAGTCTTCTAGTCCCACAATTCTGCCCAGCAGATCACCTTGTCAACCAGCTCGGATTAAACCACCACCAGTTTCAGGCCCGGGGGGAACATCCCTATTCACATTCATCTACTCATGCATGTTAAAGCATAATTCAGCATGAATGTTCCTGCCGAGGTCTGAGCGCCAAAGACTATACTTTCTTATCAATAAATTCTTCTAATTATCTTTTCTCTCTGTGTGAGTTTTTCAGATTGAAATGCACGTGTAATAAGGCAATATAATTGTTTTTTCCTATTTTAAATGTAAATGTTCTTGTTCCATTGGCAAAGTGTCTCACTTACTTCCTTAATTCAAGCAAAAAATGCACTTTTTTAAAGAAAAAAATCACTTATTGAGATTTGAATTTTTTGCAGTGCATTGGACGTTGCATCACTGCAAAAAATCTAAATCATTTTTTCTTAAAATAAGTGCATTTGTTCTTGGATTGAGGAGATAAAAAAGACATTTTGCCAATGGAACAAGACAATTTACACTTAAAATAAGAAAACACAATTGCATTGTCTTATTTTAAGTGCATATTCTCTAATTATCTTATTTTAAGAGTAAAAATACTCATTCCATTGGAAAATAATCTTATTTACCTACTTAGAATAAGGATAAATACACTTAATTTAAGAAATTTTTACTTATTTCTAGATTGTTTTTGCAGTGCAAAAACTATCTAGAAATTAGTTAAAAAAAAATCTTAAATTAAGTATATTTAGCCTTAATTTGAGCAGGTAAATAATAAGATTTGCCAATTACACTGCAAAAATAATCTAAAAATAAGTAAAAATATCTTAAATTAAGTGTATTTACCCTTAATTTTAGCAGGTAAGTAAGAGGATTTGCCAATGGAATGACTATTTTACTCTTAAAATAAGATAATTAGATAAAATGCACTTGAAATAAGACAATGCAGTTGTTTTTTCTTATTTTAAAGGTAAATGACCTTGTTCCATTGGCAAAGTTTCTCACTTACCTCCTCAATCCAAGAATACATGCACTTATTTTAAGAAAAAATTACTTAAGATTTACATTTTTACAGTGTATTTCTTTAGGAATTAGTATATTTACTCTTAAAATAAGATAATAGATAATATGCACTTGCAATAAGACAATAACATTGTTATTTTTTGTTATTTTAAATGTAAATTGTCTTGTTCCATTGGCAAAGTGTCTCACTTACCTCCTCAATTCAAGAAAAAAATGCAGTTATTTTAAATAAAAGTGACTTATTTAGATTTAAATTTGCTGTGTAGATACTGCAGTTTAAAAACACTCTGGTAAAGGTTAAGGTATCAACTTGAATTCTTTACTGAAGTAAAAGTGAAGCTTTCTAAATTCAAAGAGTCATTTGAATTGAGAAAACTTCCTGGAGGGGAAGTGAAACGTCTTCAAACCCTGGAAACCAAATCCAGTGGATTGTTTTTAAACTTTTATGGAATAATAAATATAATGATCCATTGATTATTCCTGCTGACTGGACTTCTCCTTTATAAAAAACTTTTCTCATCTTTTTATTGAGATGTTATGTAAAGGATTAAAAGAACATCTTAAAGTATGGGGGTGGTGTTCTAGAAAAATGACAGATGGGTTTTACACTTTAAATAAAATCCGTTTCCATTTAACCTCCATTATACTGACCAGTGGTGTCAAAAGTACACACATTGGTTACTTAAGTAGAAGTATAAACTGCAAAAACTATCTAGAGATTAGTAAAAAAAGAATCTTAAATTAAGTATATTAAGCCTTAATTTGAGAAATGACAGATGAATTTTCGACTTTAAATAAAATCGGAAACATTTGCAGTCCATTTGTATTTAGCCTCCTTTGTGCGGACATCCCTGAGTTTTTTTTAAAAACTTCACTTTCTTGGCATCGTATTTTAATCCCAAAGTATCAAAAAAACTTGTTTGCGTCCCTACTTTTAAAAAAGAAAATGTAAAAGTTAAGTGGTATAAATACTGTTTTAAGGCACAACTAACTGCAAAATGTATTTCAAACCTGGTTACTCTGGATCTTCCTTATTTTTTCTGCATTTTTGTTGTTATTTAGTTGCCTGTTATTTGGTCTGCTTGTTTCTCCAGTCATTAAAAACTATAATAGATTTGAAAATGGGAGCATTGCTGCAGCTTCTGTTACACAGATTAACTTACTGTCTTGTTTCATCACTTGTTTCCTTTGCATCTACACACAGGCAGACATCCTCCTCCTGTGTAGCAGCGAGCCATATGGCCTGTGCTATATCGAGACTGCAGAGCTGGATGGGTGAGTTCTGCATTACTTATATAAACAGCACACTGGGAAAAAAAATCTAAATCTAGAGAAGTAATTTTCCCTTAAAATAAGGGCATTTTTCTTGAATTGAGAAGGTAACTGAGACACTTTGCCAATGGAACAAGACAATTTACATTTAAAATAAGAAAAAAATCTATTTCATTGTCTTATTTCAAGTGTATGTTATCTAATTACCGTATTTTAACAGTAAATATTCTCATTCCATTGGCAAATTATCTTATTTATCTGCTCAAATTAAGGGTAAATACACTTAATTTAAGACATTTTGACTCATTTCTAATAGGGATGCACGATATAATCGGCCCCCTATCGGTATCGGCCTTAAAACTGAATATCGGACATCGGCCACCCCACCGATATTTAACCCGATATTTGATCAGCTTCTGAGTTTCTAAAGTCTAAAAAAAAATAAAAATAAAAAAAATACTACTTCTTCCTCAAAAACCTCTTTTTTACAGACTTAAAAACTTCTAAAGACGAGGGAAAAAATATTGATCCATTAAAATATCCCAATATCTTCATATGCTGATATATTACCATTTAAAAACACCATATCAATCTCTTTTACTAATGAAATATTGCTATATGTCATCGTTATGCTACGAAATCCCCCGAAAATTCACCAAATGTTGCCATATTTTTATATGTTGATATATTGACGCGGAATCGATCTATTTTACTAACAAAATCTCACAAGAATTTGCAAAATATCACGAGAGTTTGTTACAGAACCATGAAATTTCACGAGATTTTAAAAATCAATTTGATATCAGCATATGAAAATATATTTGAGTATATTATTTTTCAAAGTGTCAGAAATGGATAACAAAACTGCTATTTTCAATGACTACTTATTTTTGTCCAGCTTTAACATCGGTATCGATATCGGTTATCGGCTACATGAGTTTTAAAATATCGGCATATCGGATATCGGACAAAATCCCAATATCGTGCATCCCTAATTTCTAAACTAAAGCTGAGCTCGACATGCGAAGGTGAAGGAAAACTCACAGATGCTCGATCATTTTTCCCCAAACAGTGAAACTAATCTGAAAGTCCGTCAGGCTTTGAGCGTGACCTCAGATTTGGGAAATGTTTCAACACTAACGGAGTTTGATGGTGAGATGCTGCGAGTGTTTTTATATTCCAGCAGCCTTATATTGTGCTAAATTAGGCTCAGATCGTTTCCTTTTGTTTTGTCGTCTCTCCTCAGGAGAAGTCATTTGTGAACCACCGAACAACAAACTGGATAAATTCACAGGAACGTTGTACTGGAGAAATAATAAATACTCTTTGGATAATGAAAAGATGCTTTTAAGAGGTTGCGTTCTGAGAAACACGGAGTGGTGCTTTGGAATGGTCATCTTTGCTGGTATTATTAATGGTTTTTTATCTCCATACTGGGGAGCTTTTGCTCTTAAATGTTCTTTTTGGAGAATTTTTGTCTTTGTTTGCTTTAATCAGGACTACAAACCAAGCTAATGCAGAATTCTGGAAAGACTAAATTCAAAAGGACCAGCATTGATAAACTAATGAACACGCTAGTATTATGGGTAAGAAGTTGGTCTTATTTTTAATAAACCCTTTTTTTTAAAACTTTAACATATAATTTTTAACTTTTAAACATTTTTGCTATGATAAATAACAGATAAATATCTCACAATTTTTTTAAAAACACTTTGCTGCTATTGCTTCCAGATCAGTTACACTGGAAAAAATCTAAATGTAGAAGCAAATTTTAATTTAAAATAAGAAAACACAATTGCATTGTCTTATTTCTAGTGCATGTTATTGAATTATCTTATTGTAAGAATTTATTAAAAAAATACTCAGTTCATTTACCTACTCAAATTAAGGGTAAATACACTTAATTTAAGAAATGTTTACGTATTTCTAGATCTTGTTTCCAGTGTAGTAATTTTTCAAAAACATTCATTATAATTCACTTTTTTGAATTGAAACAGGCGTTCATTTTTTCAAACCATTGGTCGTTGTAAGTTTGGCACCATTTGAAAATGTATATTCATATGATTCCAGGAGAAGCAGTTTCTTTCTTTTTGTTCTCATAAGCTTCACAACAAAAAATGCCTTCTAAAAAATAAGAAAAAAAATATAGTGTTTTAAGTGAATAATTGCTTATTTTTAGCTAAATAATCTGCCAGTGCAGCAAGCAAATGAGACTTGGGAAGATTTCTTAAAACAAGAACATAATGTCTAAGTAGTAAGCATCCAAAAAAACTTAAATCAAGTAGAAAAATCTATTTCTTCTTTTACTTGTTAAGATTTTTTCTCTTATTCTCATTTATTAGTCATTATTGCTTAGAATTAAATGTCCTCTAACCAATTATTGCTCAAAACAAGCATACAACAGGCTTAAAAACAAGGCAAATGTACTTGATACCAGTTCAAAAATGTATTTACCCTTAATTTGAGTAGGGAAATGAGATAATTTGCCAATGGAATGAGTATTTTTACTCTTTAAATAACATAATTAGATAATATGCACTTAAAATAAGACAATGCAACTGTGTTTACTTATTTTAAGTGTAAATCGTCTTGTTCCATTGGCAAAATGTCTCTTTTACCTCCTCAATTCAAGAACAAATGAACTTATTATAAGAAAAAAATTACTTATCTAGATTTAGATTTTTTTTTACTGTACATGTTCTTCATTTGTTTTAAGCCCTGAAAAACCATCATTTAAAAGGTTTTCGGGGTTCATTTTCAATGTAGGAGCTAATTTAAATCCTGGCTGAGATATAGAAATATAAAAAAAGAACCTATGTGGCCCTCAGGCCGAGCATTAAACCTAACTTTCTCCACATGTTGCTGGCATTGCTTTCATTATTTCACAGTAACACTTTCTGCCAATGCTCAAAGAGGAGCAAGGAACACCAAGCAGCTTCCCTGTGCACATAGATGCATGCTATTATAGTGAGACTCTCAGACAGGGAAAAGAACACCAATATCTACAGATTGCACATCTATGTTGGATGGAAAAGAGATTTTATTTTATTTTTTTAATCTTGGAGTCCACATGCAACATACATTTTTTACAGCTGTTAAATAACAGATATTTCCTTGCATTTATTGGGAGAATGAAATTTCCATCCCATCTTGTTTTTAAATCATTTGCAGAACAACTAAAGCACAAATGAAACTTTAACTTCAGGATTGAAGATTTCCTCTTACTCTGTATGCTGACAGTGTAAATGCACCAAAGAAGTTTTGCCAAATTTGTTTTTATTTAGTGATGAACAGAGGTGTCAAATTACAAAATACTTCATTACCTTACTTAAGAAGAAATGTTGGTTATCTATACTTTACTGGAATCATTGTTTATTAGACAACTTTTTATTTTCTACTCCTCACATTTTAAAAATAGACTCACTTTTTTTCCCCATTTAACCCTTTAAAGCCTGACCGAAGAATAAAACAAAACCGAAAATTACTTTTTTTTGGTTTGAAGTCCTTATTTGGCCTTTTAACAAAATATGTAAAAAGAAAAAACAAAAATAAATTTTTGATATTAATAATTTATTACTATGCGATAAGTCAGAATTATTTTTTGTGTAGTCTTCTACTGGCTGTTATCAGGTATATCTGATTGTGTACTATAGGATTTTGAGCAAAGTTTTTACCATTAAATTATGCAAAAGGTTTCAGACGCAAAACATGTCAGAAACCGTATGTATCAAATATGATACATTTGGCATTATAGGGTTAATCTCATTTTCATTTTGTCATTTGGTATAAAAAAAAAACCAAAACAACAAAAACATCAAAGTAATTATTTTCATCCAGACAATTAATTTCTTTGTGGTTGGAGTCGGTGCTGCCCCAACTTGTTGCTCCCCACATACCAAATTTCACACTTCTGCCATTTGTTATATTACACTGGAAAAAAAATCCAAATCTAGATAAGTAATTTTTTCTTAAAATAAGTGCATTTGTTCTTGAACTGAAAAGGTAAAAGAGACATTTTGCCAATGGAACAAGACAATTTACGCTTAAAATTAGACAATGCAATTGTGTTTTCTTATTTAAAGTGTATATTATCTAATGATCTTATTTTAAGAGTAAAAATACTCATCCTATTGGCAAACTATCTAACTTACCTACTCAAATTAAGGGTAAATACACTTAATTTAGGAAATTTTAACTTATTTCTAGATTGTTTTTCCAGTGTACTTAATTAATTCTAGGGAAGTTATCATCCAGAATTGTAGAAACATTTTCCTTTAATGGACTTAGACAACTTTAATTGTCATTTTTTATACACAGAGTTGTACACAAAATGAAATTTCGTTTTTGTAAAGCATTCAGAACATTTCCATTTCTTAAGTGCAGCAGTGATCAAATGTAAACAGTGTTAGAGGAAAAAAACATGGTGCAAAAAAATGCATTGATATGGACGTTCAAAGCGTTAAATATATATGGTGCAATTATACAGTATTTTGGTTTGGTGTTATTAGTGTAATAGGGTAGTGCAGTAAATCATTTCTCATGTATTTCTTTTACTTTTATACTTAAAGTAGTTTTAAAAAAAGTACTTTTACACTTTTACTGGAGTAAAAACCTGAAGTTGATCCCCTAACTTCTACAAAAGTGCTTTTAAACAGCAGGATTTATATTTCTGCTGGAGAAATGCACCTTTGACACCTCAGTAGATGGATAAGAAGCAGCTGAAACTGACCAAGCAGAATCATCCTAACATGTCAAAGTAACCCTGGACTTTAACCCAAATGGTCCGATTAAACATTTTAGATTCACTTCTGTCTTTAAGCTCCTCATAAAGCCTTTACGACCGACCAGGATATCCATTTTTTTTTTTTCAGATTTTTGCCTTCCTCATCTGTATGGGAGTGATTCTGGCAATCGGAAACACCATTTGGGAGACTTATATCGGCAGAGGGTTCCAGGTGTTCTTACCATCAGAGGAGTTTCAGAGCAGTGCCGTTTTTTCTGGCTTCCTCACCTTCTGGTCCTACATCATCATCCTCAACACTGTTGTGCCTATCTCACTGTATGTCAGGTAAATAAAGAACGTCTTTATTTCATTTTATCTATCAGCTTAAGGGTGGCTTTGTGAAGGAACATAATTTTCTGAAACGTTCCTCACACCTTCGTTTAGTGTGGAGGTCCTGCGACTTGGTCACAGTTTCTTCATTAACTGGGACCAGAAGATGTACTTCACGCAGACCGATTCCCCGGCTGAGGCTCGCACCACCACTCTGAACGAAGAGCTCGGTCAGGTGGAGTTCATCTTCTCCGATAAGACCGGCACGCTCACACAGAACATCATGGTATTCAGCAAGTGCTCCATTAACGGACGGACGTACGGTACGACTTCTGATCTCACTTCCACCTCTCATTGGAAACATCAAAATTATCAAAGGGATTCAAAAATTGATGAATTATAAGTTATTATTTTTCCACTATTTTAGCATCTGAACCACACAGAATAAATAAAAAAAAACACCTTTAAATATATTCCATATTACATTAAAGAAAAACTGCTTTAAGGAAAGCTTCTTTTACTAATTAGCAAATTGATTTGGTTCGTAATATTAAGGTAAAATTGCATAAAAGTTCCTAAAACTACGGTAGAATTAGAAAGATATATTTCACCAGATATCAAGGAAAAAAAAAATCATTTTCCCATTTTTCCATTAAAAAAAAATAAATAAAAAGCTGTTACGGTTAGATTAAAGTGTCCTATATTGATTCTAGTGTAGTGTTTTTTAACCCCTTGACATCCAAATTTTATATACGTGTATATAAAATATAAAGTTTTGTAATCTATATATACATATATATATAATTTTTTATTATAAATAGATATATATAATATCTATATACACTACTGTTGTAGGAAAGTGAAGATTTCCTCTAACGGTGTGTACTACTCCCTTCTAAGGACAGCACAAACAGGCTCTAACCAGAGTAGAAAAAGAAGTGGGAGGCCGCGTTGCACAACCGAGCAAGAAGATAAGTACATTAGAGTCTCTAGTTTGAGAAACAGACGCCTCACAGGTCCCCAACTGGCATCTTCATTAAATAGTACCCGCAGTAGCCTGTTTGTGCTGTCCTCTGAAGGGAGTAGTACACACCGTTGGAGGAAATCTTCAATTTCTTAGCAATTTGTTGCATGGAATAGCTACTGCGGGTACTATTTAATGAAGATGCCAGTTGGGGACCTGTGAGGCGTCTGTTTTTCAAACTAGAGACTCTAATGTACTTATCTTCTTGCTCAGTTGTGCAACGTGGCCTCCCACTTCTTTTTCTACTCTGGTTAGAGCCTGTTTGTGCTGTCCTCTGAAGGGAGTAGTACACACCGTTGTAGGAAATCTTCTATTTCTTGGCAATTTCTCGCATGGAATAGCCTTCATTTCTAAGAACAAGAATAGACTGTTGAGTTTCAGATGAAACTTCTCTTTTTCTGGCCATTTTTAGCGTTTAATTGACCCCACAAATGTGATGCTCCAGAAACTCAATCTGCTCAAAGGAAGGTCAGTTTTGTAGCTTCTGTAACGAGCTAAACTGTTTTCAGATGTGTGAACATGATTGCACAAGGGTTTTATAATCATCAATTAGCCTTCTGAGCCAATGAGCAAACACATTGTACCATTAGAACACTGGAGTGATAGTTGCTGGAAATGGGCCTCTATACACCTATGTAGATATTGCACCAAAAAACAGACATTTGCAGCTAGAATAGTCATTTACCACATTAGCAATGTATAGAGTGTATTTCTTTAAAGTTAAGACTAGTTTAAAGGTACACTATGCAACCGGTGTTGATTTTCCCCCCAGAGGGCGAAAGTAAAAGTGCACTGTCGTAAATATGCTCAGCTGTTCTCCTGGTTTCTCCGTCAAGCCAGGCGCGGTTGTTTTGAGCTTAGCAGACAGGCGAACGCAGCTGGCACGATAGAAGCAGCGAGTTTACATGCAAAGTCAATGGTTGACGCGCGTCAAGGCGCAGCAAAAGGTCCCGCGGCGCGTTTTGAGCAGCAGGCGCAGCGCGTCTGAGCAGCTGAAGCAGCGCGTCGGGAGCTTTTAAGCATCTGACGCGTGTGACGCGCCGCAAACGCGCTGCTGCTCGAGATGGAAAAATTTTATTTTTGCTGCTCGACGCGCCGCCTCAACCAATCAGAGAAGCTGATCTGGGAGCTGGCAGGGAGAGAGACACAGCGCTGATGATCACAGCGCTATGATCACTCCTCTTAAACAGTTTATTGACGCCTAAATTAACTTAAAATGCAGAAATTTGCCGGCAGAATATGTTCACTTTTATTATCCTGCTGCCTGAAGTTTGGATTATTTAGATGAAAAACACCTACCAGCCGCCGCGGTGAACCGCGAGGAGGCAACCCAGCCAGAGGCTGCTGATGAAGGGGTTCCTACTGTCGGCGCACCGCTGCTATGTGGGGGTCTGAGCGGCTCCGACAGAAAAAATATTGGAAGGCAGGATGATAAACTGGATGAACTGACTGCACTGATGAAGTTTTCAGGTGTATTTTCTCACTTAAAAACATATTAAAACTACTTTATTCCCACTGATCACAGCAAATATAGCTGCAAGGCAGAGAAAGGATAGTGAAGCTCCGCCCAACGCGCGTCAGACACACTTTTGCACCGCGCAGCCAGAGCAGCAAAGCTGCTTCAGCCGCGCGTCAGAACTAACTTTACAAGCAGTAAAAATGAAGCAGCAGACGTGATTTTGCTGTGTCCGGTGTGAAAGCAGTGCTGCACAAAGATCGCCACTGTGCTAGCAACCAGCGTGCTTTTAACTGGGGGCGTGTAGCAGTTCTCGCCGTAAAGCAAGACCGACTCTCGCGAGACTTTTGAGCCTGTGGGTGCGGGTCGGTGCTCCTGCAATTGCAAGTGCGGTTTTCCCCCTACAGACCACCAGGGCGGCCGAGAATACCTTTGTTCAACCTGAAATGACTCATTTAATCATCCAAAACGTTATGGAACACATTAATTAACTGAAAAATGTTGCATAGTGTGCCTTTAAAGTTATCTTCATTGAAAAGTACAGTGCTTTTCCTTCAAAAATAAGGACATTTCAATGTGACCCCAAACTTTTGAACGGTAGTGTATATATATATATATATACACACATATGAAAAAAGGAGTCCTAAAAATAAACTTCCAACACATCCTTCATCACATTGACCAATTGAGCATAAATAATACTCTTATTAACATTGAATTTGAACATTAAACATTTGAAGATAAATAAAGACTAAAACAAAATGTTACTCGTCTTTTTCATGCAGTATAAATACTGGATTTGTACTATAATCCCCCTGATTTTTATAATTCAGCTGTTGCTTTGTTTTCATTGTTGTTGTGTATTAGCTAGGGGTGTAAATAATAATCGCTTTGTATCGATGCATCGATCCAACAGCCGACGATCCGATGCATCGATACGTCTGCAAGAGAATCGAATCATGTTTTTTTCCTCCCTCCGGTCTATTTTTATCCATTTGCTCCTGGGCGTAATTCTCCCTCCCGTGCTGCGGTGGCGCTAAACCTATTTTGCCCTCCTACCTCGCTTCCTGGTTATACTCTTACAGCAGTGTGTTGCATTTTTTATCAATGCTCAATATTGAAGCGTGGTCTGTGCTACACACTGTGGGTCTAGATACGGCCGAGGCGGCGAGGAAGTGGGGGCGAGTTTAGTCCGACGACGGAGGGACATGAGGGCCAAAAAGAGCGGAGAGTTAAGACTAGTTTAAAGTTATCTTCATTGAAAAGTACAGTGCTTTTCCTTAAAAAATAAGGACATTTCTATGTGTCCCCAAACTTTTGAATGGTAGTGTATATATAATAATAAAAAAATAAAATAAAAAAAAATCTATATATTTATATAGATTACTAAACTTTCTATTTCTTTCAAAAATAAGTAGAAATGTAGGTATATAGAAATTTGTGATCAGATTTATAATTGTCAATGATAATGTTCTCTGTCAGGGACCAGTTGAACTGGAGACCAGAGCCTGTTAAAGGTTCCTTGATCCACACTGAATGTGTAATAACTGGCACTGAGGGAACGCCATCATGGCCGTGGACGTTATACGAAGGGCTTGTTGCGTATTTGCAACAATGGGGGTTGAAGGGGTTAAGAGACAACCTGAAATGTTATGTTAGGGAATATTTATTTTTGGACAAGATGCAAAAGTGTTTAAATTTTCCTTTTTTTTCCCTCAAGGTGATGTTTACAATGAATTCAATGAGAAGGTGGAAATTACAGAGGTAAACAAAAAGGAATTCATCTTTTTATTTCATTTTTTTTTTCTGGGTTTCCTTCTCTAAGACAAATTAAGGCGAAAGCTTTATTTAAGCAGGCGTGAAACTTATTAATAAATCTGTGAGTTTAGAGTACGATTAATTCATTAATGTAATAAAGAAAAATATAAATAATTCAGTTGAATTAGCGTCCACTACAAATATTATAATTGAAATTATTGATCTCATATTGGAGGATTCCAAACTTTATACCCTAACCACTAGACCGCCACTCCCCCAGCGCTCTATTAAAGAGCTCTAAAATCTGAGACTCAGGCTCTGTTCGAAAACCTGGGCTGCATCCTCCAAGGACGCGGTCTACCTAGACTGGATCCTTTGAAGTCCTTGAAAATAAGGAGACCGGAAGAGTTTTGGCTGTGAATTCGAACAGGTCTACCCTTCGACGGGCTTTACCGCTGTGGCTATGTTGCTTAGCAACCGTGAAAGTTGACACACAAAGCAGGAAAAGAATGAATGCCGAGGTATTCAAAACCGTTTGTTTATTTATTTATTTTTTATTATAAAGTGAACAAAGACTACATTAACAAGAATCCAGAATGGCATAAAGGTTCCAACCACCGGGAGCAGGAACAAATAAAATCAAATGTAATGATAGAAACCTTAGTCAGTTAAATAACCTGCTGCTGTCATTCTGCACATCTCTGATGTTGCTGCTATTTTCAAATATCCATTACTGGAAAAATGTCCATAGCTGCATATTGGTTATTTATTCCCCAGTTTTATATTGTTAAAACACTTTACAGTATTTTATTGTTTATATTTTAACTGTTCCCTATTATGTTATTCCACATTAGTCCACATTTGTGTGACCATTTTCAATAATCTTTCTGCTGCTGTAAATTTGCCCATTGTGGGACAATAAAGGGATTTTCTATTCTATTCTATAAAAGGGGTAGAAAGATATAAGTAAATCTAAACAATGTATGTATAAAAATATATCTGCAAAATCTCTAATATTCAACAACAAAAATACTTAGTTAAGCATATTGTGCAAAACAGCAATAGAAAGATAAAAATCCTATCAGATTTATAGTCCCCACCCTGCAGATATATTAGAATATGTCCTTAAATTCCAGCCAAACCGATTTACACAGTAACTGATTAAAACCTTTAGATAAATCAAACATTACCGCCACATATCTGATTCAATAACCATTAAAACAACTATTTTTCATTCATCTCAGAGGGAACTATTCACAGACTTGTATTATATTAAACTGAACTTCCAATTTTCACCACTGTTCGGCGCCAAGTAACCTTTCCTCTGATCACGGCTTGCTTGGTCTCGCAATGAATCCTGGGTAAACCAAGGATAGCGAGGATACATCGGACCCGTCCTTCAAATCGGGCAAAAAGAAGGACGCATTTTAAGGCCGCATGAGGAGGAGTCTTGGAATCCGACCAGACCTCGGCGCCGCGCTATGACGTAATCGTCCTTCGAATCTGGCCTTCTAAGGACGCGTCCTAGGTTTTCGAACAGAGCATCAGTTTCACGCTATTTTCCCACTGCTCTTTGCTATATGGTCCAAACCTGCCTATGGTTTAGCCATTCAAATTTTTATGTATACTCTGGTTTGTTATACGGAAAAAATTGTTTCATCATGCCTAATATTGAAATTCCATAAAGGTAAAAAAAACTGCTTGGAAACATGCAAATTGAATTGACTGCCACTGCTATGTTTCAAAGTGGCTGCAATGTCTTGGTGAAATGTTTTATTCTTCAGATCACAAAAGAGATAAATATGAAGCAATCTTTTTATTTATGACCTTATAATAAACCCTAGATTATATCATTAAGGCTGATTATATATCACTGTTTAATAGGGATTATTGAACTGGTGTTCTGTCAGATAAGCATACCCAGTCAGACCAGCATTCCCAGTCAGACCAGCATACCCATAGTCAAAACCCTCTCTTTAGTTTATCTCTTTCGTTTTGTATGAAAAATAAACTTTAAACTACCTCAACAGGTGTAAAACCAATTTGATTACTTACTTCTTGGCATTTTTTTAAGCATATGGCGATCTGACCTTCAATTGTTTTTATCCGTACGTGACTAAAGGGATACACGCCCCTTTAGGTAGTTTAAAGTCTATTTTTCATACAAAACTAAAGGGATAAACGCGAATCTGACCTCTTGCGCATGCATATTGACTCTGAGTATGCTGGTCTGACGAGGTATGCCTATCTGACAGAACACTGGTTTGCTGCATTTTGTCATAAAATACATTAAACAGTTAAAAGAAATCCACAAATACCTACCTAAAGAGTGGGCAATGGTTTAAAATCCAATCATTGTACCAAGACACCTGCATGGTTCACAACGCTTGTCAGAAACACTGTTCCACAAACTAGATTTTCTGATGCTTCATAATAAAGGCCGTCCTCCTGAAGCAGGGAGTAATGAAATAAAAATCCTCTTTATCTTCCTGACTTGATTCAATTTCTATTCAGTTTATTTCTATAGCTCCAATTCACATCATGTCATCTCAGGTCACTTTCCAGTTCACCAGATCATCCAGTCAGATTGATTCAAAGTTTTCTATCTAAGGAAAACCAGCTGATTGCATCGACTCATTGACTCTTCAGCAATCCCTCACACTAAGCATGCTTGTAGCGACAGTGGAGAGGAAAAACTCCCTTTGAACAGGAAGAAACCTCCAGCAGAACCAGGCTCAGTGTGAGCGGCCATCTGCTGAGGCCCACTGGGGTTCAAGGAGACAGAAGCGCCAATTTACAACACAAGCATGCTTAGTGTGAGGGATTGCTGAAGAGTCAATAAGTCGATGCAATCAGCTGGTTTTCCTTAGATAGAAAACTTTGAATCAATCTGACTGGATGATCTGGTGAACTGGAAAGTGTCTTGAGATCAAATGTGTTGTGAATTGGCGCTATAGAAATAAATTGAATGAATGCGTTTCCCTCAGAAAACAGCGTGCGTGGACTTCTCTTTCAACCCCCTCTTGGACGGAGGGTTTAAGTTTTACGACAGCAGCCTGGTTGAAGCTGTTAAACGGGAGGAATCTTCAGTGCAGGAGTTCTTCAGGCTGCTGGCTCTGTGCCACACCGTCATGTCCGAGGAGAAGAGTGAAGGTAAAGCTGCACCCTGATCTTACCGTCCATGAGGATTTATTTTACGTTTTTTCTCTGATCAATATGTCTGTTTGAACGAAGGGAATCTGGTGTACCAGGCCCAGTCACCTGATGAGGGAGCGTTGGTAACGGCAGCACGAAACTTTGGGTTTGTCTTCCGGGCTCGAACGCCAGAAACCATCACATTATGTGAGATGGGAAGAGCCGCCACCTATGAGCTGCTGGCCATACTGGACTTCAACAACGTGCGCAAGAGAATGAGTGTCATTGGTTAGGTCTTTACGTATAATAGCACTAGAAGTCAATATAACCCCAGTGTCCTTTAGTCATTTTCAGCATCCTGAAAAACTAATTTTAGGTATTTTATTGCCTGTGACATGAGATCAGTGTATCTGATTTGCTTTTGTGTGTGTGTGGTATCTATGGAGTCAGAAAGGGTTCAAAATATTTGGAAACTTCTAAATCTACAATTTTTTTTACCTTAAAATATGACTAACTAAAAAAAGCAAACATAGAATAATAAGAAATGAATCTAAACTCAGATTAGTATTTTAATTACACTTTTTCCTTTATTTTTTATTTCTGTCCTTATTTGCGGTTTTAGATTTTTACACTTTCAAATCAGCTTTTTTCAGATTCAGATTTTAACCCCAGTCTGACAGGAAATTATATTTATAATTTTTTCTAATTAAGGTTTTAATCTTCGTTGCATTATTTAGGACTGTGACAAAGTAGTCTGTAAAAAAAGATGAAACTTGCCTGATTAGCAGAGATGGGAAGTAACGAAGTACAAATACTTCGTTACTGTCTTCAAGTAGATTTTTCTGATATTTTTACTTTACTTTACTACTTATTTTTATGGCGACTTTTTACTTCTACTCCTTACATTTTTACACAAATATCTGTACTTTCTACTCCTTACATTTTAAAAAATTGGCTCGTTACTTTAGTTTTGAATCATTTCAATGGAGTTACCGTTATTATTTTTCACGTCATCAATACCAAATTCAATCTAATTGGATGGGAATCTACGTTGCATTTGACGCACCGCTACAAGATGAATCGACAGATTCGGCGGTATTCATTGGCGGCAAATCATTGCAGCTTGGTGGCGGTGGCGTTAGCATAGTAGCATGGACGACGAGATGATTGAAAATGAACACAACGTAGATCTAGTCCTATTGGCAGACATCCATTTAAAATGTAGGCAACGGCATGAAAAAAGTGGTTTCTACTTTTACTTTTATACTTTAAGTAAATTTACAAGCCTGTACTTTGTTACTTTTACTTGAGTAAAGAAGTTTAATCAGTACTTCCACTTTTACCAGAGTATTTTTTAACACAAGTATCTGTACTTTTACTAAAGTACGGAAAGTGAGTACTTTAGCCATCTCTGCTGATTAGCAGTGTTGCTCGAGCCACTCGGTGCAGATCCCATCTTTCAGTGAACGGACACAGAATTTAATTTGCGGATTTGGGAATGTTTGAGGGTCATACATTGCCTGTTTATTTTTATATATATTAACTCATCCTGGAATGATTATTATTGAAAGTTCCAGTGTAAATGTCTTTAATGCAATATTTTTCACGGGATTTGGCCAAAAAGGCAAATAAATGCTGCAGAGAATGTGAAAAAGTTTAATTAAAATACTAAACTGAATTTTTTCAAGTTTTTTCAAGCTGCAGGAAAGAATTTAGATTTTATTCCTATTATTTAATGTTATAGGTAAATATTCAATATCAACTTATATTTTCTCTGTTTAAACTTTAATTTTTTTCAATTTCAACTAAGATTTAGTAGGTTTACAAACATTCTGACCCCTTTCTGACTCCATAGGTATCTCCAAAGGCAAACTGTTTTCTTATTTGGTTTTGTTTGCGGATTTAGTAAGAAATCCCAAAGGTCAGATTAAACTGTACTGCAAGGGAGCCGACACCATCATCTTTGACCGTCTGGATCCGTCCAGTGAAGAGCTGATGTACGCTACCTCAGAACACCTCAGCGTAAGTGTTATCTGATTGCTTAAAGAGTCTGCAGGATTCACACTGAGCTCTACTAAAGTTATTCTATCCTTTGAACTATTTTACATAAGGTTATATTAAAACTACTAACTTTAATATATATCATTCTACTTTTTCATCCCGGAAAATACTTGTATAGTCAGAGAAAAAGGAAACAAGATTTAACTAATTTTCTTAATAACTTTTGTTGCTCTTCCACTGAAGAGGGAACCTGGGCTCCAGTTTCAATTCTTTTCCAGCTTCCAACAGCATAAAAAAAAAAAAAAAAGCTGTTGGCAGATTTTCCGACCAGATCTGTTAACCTCTGCAGCTCATGGGCTTTTCGGTTGACATTCTACGGAACCCCAGAGCGGCCATGTCCCTCCGATACTTTTTCATGGTGGTTTTCTCGAGAAAACAAGTTAATTTTTTCATTATCTAAAGATAACGAAAGCCATTTTCTCGTCATAACGAAATTATTATTTTCTCCTTAGAAAGCCGTTTTCTCGTCATAATGAGATGATTGTTGTGTGTTAAAACTGATAAAATCCTTCAATACCACAACAGCGAGAGAGGAGAAGTCATGGCAGCCTATGTGTGATTCTTTAATTAATCCTGTGGTTAACATTTAGGTAACGAGACGACGTTGTTGGTTTGATGATTTGCTTCCACTTCTGATTCATAAGAAATTAAACCTATGCCTCCGGCGCCTTAGCGCCTGGTGTTTTCTGGACAGCCCCGGTGTTACACCTGTAACAGGTATAAGCTGCATTAACCCCCAAAATGAGTCCAGATTCAAGATTTTCATTAAAAAACAGATTTGTTTCTACTCTATTCCATGCAGTCCAATTATCCACCACCACCTGACAATGAGTGAAAAGAAAAAGGAATCTAAGAAACTGATTATTTACGCTCACGCTGTACTGCGGCTGCACAACTATGGGCCCTGCAGGCATGGATGGACCGGGAATCCAGGGCAGTTGGCCACCCTCTTTCAGTACTCATACATGTTAATCATCTCGTTATCTCAAGAAATCAATAACTGCACTGGAAAAACTATATAGAAATAAGTAAAAATTTCTCAAATTAAGTGTATTTACCCTTAATTTGAGCAGGTAAATTAGGTAGTTTGCACAGTCAGAATTCTGAGATTAAAGTCAGAATTCTAAGAAAAAAAGTCAGAATTCTGACTTTTTTCCCATACGAAACTGAAATAAAATTTAAAAATCAGTTAACTTTTTTTTTGTGTGGCCCTAATCCTCTTCCGTAGCCAGCAAACTGCTTGTTTTTGCAGCCAAATGCTTCATAAATTGGCAATTTTACTGCGTGTCTCCGTGGGATTGGGGAGTACCAACATGGTGGCTTCACTTCACTTCACTTTTTTGGGGCTTTCAGCAATCCAGTGAATAAACAGAGATCAGTGAGTGGCACTCCAGGGCCGAGGTTGCCTACCGCTGGTTTACTCTGATTCCTGCGTATTCGACAACAGTTCAGCTCAACATGATGCATCCTCTGTGCTCTAAGAACAACTCTATCAGTCTGAACTAACTGGATCTGCTTTAGTTTAATTTTTATAGTTTTAAAACATGCATGTATTCAAATTGCATTAGCATCTTACAGAAGAGCAATGCTGAAGCTTTGATTGCTTGTTAAAACTGCAGCATTTGTTCTGCTAGATAAGCTGACTGATTTTTAAAAACTTTCATTTACTACAGAACTGCTGAATATGTAATTTCTTGACAGGAATTTGCAGGAGAAGGGCTTCGGACGCTAGCTCTCGCATACAAAGATCTCAGTGAAGACTATTATGAAGCGTGGAAGAAGAAGCTGCACCATGTGAGCACCGTGATTGAGAACCGGGAAGAGCAGCTGGCTGTCCTCTACGAGGAAATTGAGCGGGACATGAAGGTAAAATCGACATCCTTCAGTCTGAAGCAGTGACTCTTCTTCTGCTGCTACAGACTGACTGCTGGTTCTGTTGAAGCTTCTTGGAGCCACGGCAATAGAGGATAAACTTCAAGATGGAGTGCCTGAGACAATCGCCTGCCTGAATCTAGCTGACATCAAGATTTGGGTCCTAACAGGAGACAAACTAGGTAGCAAATAAGTAAAGAAATCTGGATTATGAATAGCTGTATCTGTGGAGAGTTACAGAAAATTAGCTCTGTTGCCTTAGAGACGGCGATGAACATCGGCTATTCCTGCAACATGCTGCGAGACGACATGAATGAGGTGTTTGTTATCTCTGGACTCACACAGCTGGAGGTGCAGCAGCAGCTCAGGTAAATTGCCATGTTTATACAACAAGCTAAAAAACACAGCAGCAGCCCTGGAGAGGGTCTGCTGTGCGCAGGGCGCCGTTTGTAAAGTGGAGGAGTCAAAAATTAGGAGCAATATTTATGGTTATTTAGCGTGTTTTAAGAGAAAAAATAAGGTTATTTTATTCCAAGTCATTTTTTCATTATGTCATTCATTCATTTATAAAACTCTTACTTTGTTAAACATTTAGTTTATTAAATAAATATTTTGCTCTTAAGTAAATATTTAGTTGGTTAAATAAATATTAAGCTCAAAAGTAAATATTTAGTTTGCAAATTAAATATTTAGTTTATTAAATAAATATTTAGCTCCAAACTTAATATTTTGTTTGCAAATTAAATATTTAGTTTATTAAATAAATATTTAGCTCGAAAGTAAATATTTAGTTTGCAAATTAAATATTTTGTTTATTAAATAAATATTTAGCTCCAAAGTAAATATTTAGTCTGCAAATTAAATATTTAGTTTATTAAATAAATATTTTGCTCTTAAGTAAATATTTTGTTTGCAAATTAAATATTTAGTTTATTAAATAAACATTTTGCTCCGAACTTAATATTTTGTTTGCAAATTAAATATTTAGTTTATTAAATAAATATTTAGCTCGAAAGTATATATTTAATTTGCAAATTAAATATTTAGTTTATTAAATAAATATTTTGCTCCAAACTTAATATTTTGTTTGCAAATTAAATATTTAGTTTATTAAATAAATATTTAGCTCGAAAGTAAATATTTAGTTTGCAAATTAAATATTTAGTTGGTTAAATAAATATTTAGCTCAAAATTTTATATTTAGTTGGTTAAATAAATGTGTTGCTGTGTTTCCCTGAGGGAGATACTTGTCCTTCTCAAACCTATTGTCAGGATTTGGTTGTTGGTTTGAGGACCCAAATGCAGAGGCAGGGAGGCAGGGATGAGCTTCTTGTAGATTTAATGAAATGTTAACAGACAACTTAGGCAGGAATCCAAAAATCAAGCATGAAAAAAGTAAAAACAAACCAGAAACCATGGAGACTCCAGTGGAAAACAATCACGACGAGGAAGACACAGTGAGACGGAGTTGGAGGAAGTTAGACGAGGAACCAGCACTGAGGAACTGCACAAGGAGAGTATTTATGGCTAACTGAACAAAGAGGGGACTAACGAGCAGATTGGGAGCAGGTGTGAACAGAACAGACTGGAGAGGAGCTAGGGAAAAGGAGAACACAAGAGGGCAGCAGAGGGCAACAAATAAAAACCTGAAAACTGAAATATAACCAGAAAACACAACAAAATAAGAATTAAACCAATAAAACTAGAGAAAAATGGAGCAAAGTTAAACTGAATACTCAAAAGAAAACATAACAGAACCAAGACCGTGACACCTATTAACGTTTATCCAGCTTAAGTTGAGGTTACTGGACTTCATCTCATGCTTTTGAAGACGTTTAACTTCTAATACACAAGACTTTCCAAAATCCACATAAAAAAAAAATGGAATAACACTGAAATATACGGCAGCTTGCACAACATTTTACTATTGGAGCTCTTGACCCTAATCACAGGTGAAAACAAGACAACAAATGATGTAGAAGTGATTGCCATGGCAACGCAAGCATAAAAAGAGAAATATTCTCTGAAATCTGAATGCATCACAGAAAAGCGGTGGATTCAGGACTCTATTTATGAAATTCTCTCTAGAATGTTATTCTGTTAAAGTTTTTTTTTCTTCATCTTGCAAAAATGGTCATGTTACGTAAAAAATAGCCAAAACCAATACACAGTACTACAGTATGAATCTGGTTTATAATCTGGTTTATAATCAGGTATATAATCTTAAAAGATCAAAGCCCTGATTTGCTTCCTATATTTCTAGTATTTTTTTTTTTCAACAGAACCTCTGAAAATGCATAAAATGCATGTTTAGCAGCATTCCTCCCTCTGCAGGAATGCTAAGGAGCGTGTCATCGGTCTGAGCCGGCTGAGCAGCACAGGAGGCGCTGAGAAGGACGACATGTTTTTAGAAGATTCAGTTTTTGAAGAAGCCATCATTGCAGAGTATGCCTTAATTATCAATGGCCACAGCTTGGTAAGATATAATTAAAATGCTTTTTTAATTTTCTTTATTTGTGTGTGTTGCAGGTTTTTAACCATTAAATAGTAGTTTTGTTGTTTTTTTGCTGAATACTGCATCTGTCTTTACCTGCTGCTAAATAAAGTGTAATTAGCAGAGAGCTGCTGGGCGGCTGAGTCCTGACAGATGTAATACAAGTTTTCATTAACATCCATTTCCTTACCCCCTGCAGCTCTGGTTAGGTGCATGATGGGAAATGTTACGTTGTGCTGTGCTGCCTCAGCAGGGATACTGCAGCTCTGCAGAGATACAATATGTTAAGCAGGAGTGTTGTGTGTGTGTTTGGCCGCGCCAGGCTCACGCTCTGGAGCCCCAGCTGGAGCAGACGTTGCTGGATTTGGCCTGTTTGTGTAAAACGGTCATTTGCTGTCGGGTCACGCCGATGCAGAAAGCTCAGGTGGTGGAGCTGGTGAGGAGGCACAAGAGGGCCGTCACGCTGGCTGTAGGAGACGGCGCCAACGACGTCAGCATGATCAAAAGTAAAGCTGTTTATGAGTATAAACATTATTCCCTGAAACAAAACAAAAAACACTGTTTACTGAAGATGTTTGAAACCCTCATTGATAAAAACGACTGACCTCACACTCATTGCTCATCTGAAACCAAGAAAAAGCTTGTGCCGTATGCTAACCCCCTGAAGGGAAAAATAACTTGCTTTACAAGCTTTTATGAATTATACATCCATGTTTGTGGAAATAGATAAGGATAACACTGTCACGGCTGAGTGGAGGTTTTTGAGGACCGAGGTAAGTCTTGCAAATTTAATGAGGCAACTGAGCAAAAATTCAAAATACTGAGAACCAAAAAGAAGATAACATCAGGGGAAACTCACGAGGGAAGCCAGAGACAAGGGAACAAAAAAAAAAAAGAGATCAGCACTGAATGGCTGCAGAGGTGGTGTATATATTGGGAGACAGGGGCGTGCACACATAGACACTAGGTGGTGCTAAAGCACTAGGAAGTTTGCCCTCTATCAAAGAAAATGCCCTTTTGAAACTCGTTTTTTTTTTTTTTTTTTTTTATTATTAATATTATTAAGATTTTACTGAGGTCGGTTTTGAAATGATCTTTTGAAAACCTGAGCCATTAAAAACGACTGAAACAATGCCCCGAAATGACCGACCTACTTGCGCACAAACGACCGGCCTCTCTCTCTTCCTTTGTCACGTGAACTCGCTCGGTCGCCCGCAGGGCATCCCAGATGATGGCAGGAACGGTCGCTGACAGGCTGCTTCTCCTGTGCCCCATTAGCCAGGTAATATACAGATCAAGCAGAATCATTTTGTTGTGCATTAAAATGTCTCATTCAGCAGCACCAAACACGCATTTTGCCGACTGGTCACCAGATAAACTAGTCGTCTCCTTGTAAGATGCTATTTTACTTTTTATATTTTGTATCCATATTTTTTATCTTAAGTGTATACATTAGTCTATTTTATTGCATGACGTATACCCACAGTTTTTAGATATTTTTATAATTTTATTTACCTATTCCATATTATATGTTTCATGTTGCACGATTGTACCACAAAAAATTTGTGAACTCCTTCACTAACAATGGCAATAAACCTGATTCTGATTCTGAAAGTTTTACACTGTAGCCCAAGTCAATGACAGATAACGTGAGGACGACCACATAGGCTACAAATAATTTTGGTAGAGTTTGCAATTGCAAATACGGAAGAGGATTAGGGCCACTGAAAAAAAAAAAAAAAGTTAACTGATTTTTAAATTTTATTTCAGTTTAGTATGGGAAAAAAGTCAGAATGCTGACTTTAATCTCATAATTCTAACTTTTTTCTCATAATTCTGACTTTTTGCTGAGAATTCTGACTTTTTGCTGAGTATTCTGACTTTAATCTCAGAATTCTGACAATAAAAAAGTCAGAATTCTGACTTTTTTCCCATGTTAAACTGAAATAAAATTTAAAAATCAGTTAAATTTTTTTTTTTTTCAGTGGCCCTAATCCTCTTCTATACAAATCTATGTGTTAAGACAAACATTTTCTGTTGTATAGGTTCTGTTAGGCAACATAAATTAACACATTTTTGTCTCTTTATTGTCTTAATTGTATATTTATTTAGTAATTGCAGCACAATGCCAAGAAAGGAGGGTTAATCATATTGAAAAATCTTAAAAGCTGTTCACATTTTATTTTTAAGTGGTTTGTGCAGCAGGTATTAAAATAGCAAATATTTTGTAGGCTACCATAAGTCATATCCACGTGACAAGACTTCCAGTCATGTTGCCCTAATAGCCCATTATTTAAACTAATGTGGCATATTTGTTAAAGCTATTATTATTATTATTATTATTATTATTATTATTATTATTATTATTATTATTATTATCATTATTATTATTATTATCATTATTATTGTCATGATGGTTATTATTAATATATTGTAGCCAGTCACAGCAGGGAAGCTCTATACCATCAACATCTACCAGGACAGGAGATGAGGAAGAGTTCAGGGAAGACACAGAGACAGAAAAAGACCAGGATGAGGGAGAACAGATGGGTGAGGGAAAACCGGGAGATGAGCCAGATGAAAGAAGTACGCTTTAGTCTGTTCTGTTGGTGATGTGACTTTTTTCCATTGAAAACTCACGTTTAGAGAATGTTACAAATAAAAGTCAAATTTCATTCAACATGCGTTTATTTTTTTTTATAATTAAGTGTTACACGTGCGCTAAAAAGTGCCTCCCCCCCCCTCCTGAGCACCTGCCCCCCAAAATGTCTGTGCACGCCTCTGTTGGGAGACTGAACCAAGACAGGCTAATCAGCAGATAGGGAGCAGGTTTGAACAAGACCAACTAGGAGGAAGGCAAGGGGAAAGGAAACAAGCACAAGGAGGCAATAGAGACTTTTTTTTTCGAATTCTGACTTTAATCTCAACATTCGGACTTTAAAGCTACAGTGTGTAATAATTACAGGGATATACAGTCAGAAATGTAATATATTATACATAACTATGTTATTTATCATCATCTACGAGCTCAGCCTCTTAACCTTAATATTTGCGTTGCCTTAGAATTCGTTATTTATAATTACATAGGAGCGGGTCTCGCAGCCATGGAGGCAGACATCTTTGCGCTACGGCAGCGCAGAGCCAACAAACTAGCGATTGCGAGATCGCCCATTATGCTCGAAAGTAACTACGGCAAGTTGAGAGAGATGATGAACTGAGACGGTACTGAACAATAGATGGCAGTATTATGCCTGAGAATACTATCTGTAAAATTATCTATGTAAACAAACCTCATCACTTGAGAAGGTAGGTGATGCGGACGTCGTGGAAGACATTTTGTCCCGTAACGCTCGCCGTACTGTTGGGGGGGAGATGTTCATGTTGCTGCGGTCTGCAGTCTGGACGTTAGATGTCGCTAAAAATTACACACTGTAGCTTTAATCTAAGAATTCTGACTTTTTTTATTGTCAGAATTCAGTCAGAATTCTGAGAAAAAAAGTCAGAATTCTGGCTTTTTTCCCATACGAAACTGAAATTAAATTTAAAAATCAGTTAGATTTTTTAGACAGCAAACTGCTTGTTTTTGCAGCCAAATGCTTCATAAATTGGCAATTTTACTGCGTGTCTCCGTGGGATTGTGGAGTACCAACATGGTGGATGGTGGCTTCACTTCACTTTTTTGGGGTTATCAGCAATCCAGTGAATAAACAGAGATCAGTGAGTGGCACTCCAGGGCCGAGGTTCTTTTTAAAACGTCAGGATCTGATGCAGCATGGATAAAGACGGCTAGGACTGATTTAAAGCACTTTTTAGAAAAGGCAAAGAAGAATGAACAATCTGGGATTCACATGGAACATATAATATATTGATTAGTTGCTCTTAAATAAACTCAGAAAATAAATAGTTTATATATATATATATAAAAAATATAAAGCTGACTAATAGCTTCTAATAGCTTCTCCATTATTAAACTGGCACATTTATTAGGTTGGTGAAACAATATTGGATCATGCAAAACACAGATTTACCTTCACAAAGCTTTAGAAGGGCAAGATTTTTTACAAACATTAACCTGTACATGAAATTATGTTTATAAATTGTTTTTATAAGGTTTTTTTATAATCGTGTGATAACTTCGTATACTTAAAACTCCACCAGCCGCCTCTGATTCTGACACTAACATTTTCTTCCCCTCAGATTTTTTTTATCCTCTGTCTTCATCTGTTATCATGAATTATACCTTTAATGTGTTTGTAAATCAAATCAAATCTCAGGGATGCTGATGAAGATTCTCAGTCATCCAGGTCATAGTCATTCCGTAAAATTTTAAAAAACAATCCACTGGATTTGGTTTCCAAGGTTTGAAGACGTTTCGCCACCTCTCCAGGAAACTTTCTCAATTCAAATGTCTGGATCCACAATGAGTTTGAGTCTATATATAGACAAGGCCTTGTATCGCTTGGAAACATGCAAATTGAAACCGACGAGTGGGTCGTTTGGTTCCATGGTTAGCCTGTAATATCTGAAACCTGTCTATGATTGTTAAGGGTCGGTCGTTAAAGGGGGAGATTGTGATTAAGGGGGGGGGGGGGGGTTGTCTCCTGTAATACCTGAAACCTGTCTATGATTGTGAAAGGTGGGTCGTGGTGTGGTGATATCTGGAAGGGATCATCTCTATAACTGAATTGTAAGTTGTAAGTACTTACAAGTACTTTTAAGTAAGTTTTTTAAACTTTTACGGAATCTCAGGGATCTTTACAGTATCAGTGCTTGCAAAGGTCTGCTTGTTTTGGTGTGTGTTAGGTTTATTCTTTTAGTCATTATTAGTCATGTGTATTTTTTGTATCTATGCTTCTTTTTCTGTCTGCTTCTGTCTCCTTGAACCCCAGTGGGCCTCAGCAGATGGCCGCTCACACTGAGCCTGGTTCTGCTGGAGGTTTCTTCCTGTTCAAAGGGAGTTTTTCCTCTCCACTGTCGCTACAAGCATGCTTAGTGTGAGGGATTGCTGAAGAGTCAATGAGTCGATGCAATCAGCTGGTTTTCCTTAGATAGAAAACTTTGTATCAATTTGACTGGATGATCTGGTTGAACTGGAAAGTGCCTTGAGATGACATGTTTTGTGAATTTGGCGCTATAGAAATAAACTGAATTGAAATTTAATTGTATTAGAAATCCGTCCAGATTAGATGGAGTGGACGGCCTTCCTTCACATGGTGGATAACAGCGTGTGTACAGAGGCCATCTAATGAGGCATAGAGGCAAGAGGCACAAAGGTCAGGGCATGGATGGCGTGTCAGTTTCTGACACAAACAGCATCCACCTGATGCAACACATGAGGTATAAGAAGCAGGAGATGACCTCGTTTTGGGCTCATTTTTCCAGATTTGAGCCCAACAGCTATGCCGACTCCAAGCAATTTCTATTTGTCCTTTAACGATCTGAACTGGAATAAACTCTGTTAATATTTACTCCTGTTTTTATAGTCCTTTTAATATAGTTTTACCAAGTTTTGAGTTAAAAGTAATTATACAAAGTAGCTTACTCCCAGAAAAAGAACCGGAAGGGAAGTTCTGTGGTGTAATCGCCTTCAGGGGGACGTAACTTCCTATTTTAACAGGCGGGATATAAGATCTTAAACTCTTCATGCCAGTGATACATTTGGTCAGTTGTAGTCTCTCTAAGTGACTTGATGTGCAGCATTTGTGAGATGTTGTGGCTAACATGCTCAGACTGGACATTATTTTTGTAAGCCTGTTAAAACCAAGATTCCCAGAAGTGATTAAAATGCGGTTGATAGTCGCTGCACAAATACGACCCATTTATAGTTGTTGGTGTTTAGATATGGTTTGTTTCCGGTTCCTTTGGTTTGGGTGGTGGTGTTTGGTTTAGGTTGACACACTGACCTATATTTTGCCCTACCGCTGGTGGCGCTGTGGAGGGGAAAGCTATAAAGGTGAGATCTGAGAGGGCAGAAAAGGTTAGAGTGATGGGAGGTCATTACCGCTTTCTTTAGCACACAATAGCCTGCGTCCACTGGTTAAGTTCTTTCATATCCACACTCTCCATAATTACCTGTCCATCTTGCTTGTTGGAAAAGACCACCACTCGGATCGTTTGTTCATTAACAAACTGACTTCAATAAATAGGAACGCCCATAAATTATCTCCCGGTCTGGACATCATTTTGTAAAAACGTTAATACCAAGATTCCCCGCATCCACAAGCGATTTAAAGGTGGTCGATAGTCGCTACCAGATCACTTCTCTTCTGACACGAACATTTTGTTCTCATCAGATGCTTTTTATCCACTGTCTTCATCTGTTATCATTAATTATACCTTTAATGTGTTTGTAAATCAAATAAAAATGATGACCAGTAACAACTTTATAGCGGAGATCTGAAATGCATTTTTAGACATCCATTTCTGATAGGAGTAATGTCATTTCAGATATCTGAAATGTTCATTTTCGATATTAGCAATACTATTAAAGATATATGAAATATGAACAAATCTATGTTAAAACGGCTGCTTAAAAAAGTAAAGATTTGTAGATATCTGATATGTAGTTCTTACTAGTACAAATTTGATTCCAAAGTGTTTAAAATTTAATTTCTACTGGTAGAAATGCAATAAGTGATATCTAAAACACAACTAGCTGACTATTTGATGTTAAAATGGAGCCTCCAGATGTATCTTTTTAACAATAAGCCTTCAGTCAAGCTAATAAATTTCAAAATGGCCTGCCATACAAACACTTAAAGAGACTTTTGAGAAACCCATTAACCTAACAGTCATGTTTTTGGACTGTGGGAGGAAGCTGGAGAACGACCCCGAGCCGGGAATCGAACCCAGAACCTTCTCGCTGCAAGGCAGCAGTTCTATCCACTGGATCAATGAGCAGCCAGGAATAAATAAACCTGGTTTAATCATGCACCCTTGTACCTCCCTTAGTTTTGAGCTTATAGATGTTGTCTAAAATGCAAACTTGTTGTTCCATATTTCTATAATGTCTAAAGGAAAGTGAACCACATTGTGCTTGTTCCTTTTGCTGCTTCAGCCGCCCACATTGGTGTAGGCATCAGCGGACAGGAGGGGATGCAGGCCGCTCTGGCCTCAGATTACTCCTTCGCTCAGTTTCGATTCCTGCAGAGGCTCCTGTTGGTCCACGGCCGCTGGTCCTACTTCCGAATGTGTAATTTCTTGGCCTACTTCTTCTACAAGAACTTTGCCTTTACCCTGGTTCACTTCTGGTATGGTTTCTTCTGTGGTTTCTCAGCACAGGTAAGGAAAGTGTGATATATAATACAATCTGAGGCCAGTTTTTAATCAATTATCCTTATAACTCCTTTCTTTCCACAGACTGTGTACGACCAGTGGTTCATTACACTCTTCAATATTGTCTATACATCTCTACCGGTGCTGGCAATTGGACTTTTTGATCAGGTATCGTTAAAAACAACAAACAAATAATAAAACACTTGCATAAAATAAAAAAATAATAATAATAATAACTGAATTTTATTGATCTCTCATTGGAAAAATTAACCTCTGTTTTTAACCCATCCCCTTGGTGAGCAGTGGGCTGCTATTGTGCGACACCCGTGGAGCAATCGGGGGTTAAGGGTCTTTCCTCAGGATTCCAAGCTTTATGCCCTAACCACTTGGCTGCTGTTCTGTCAGACCAGCATACCCATAGTCAACACGCATGCGCAAGACGTCAGATTTGCATTTTATCCTTTTAGTTTTTTACAAAAAATAAACTTTAAACTACCTCGACGGGCGTCTGTCCCTTTAGCCATGTAAAAAAAAAAAAAAACAATTTAAGAGGTTGCCATACGCTTAAAAAAACACCAAATAGTAAGTAATTAAATGTTTTTTTTTGTATAAAACTAAAGGGATAAATGGGTTTTGACTATGGGTATGCTGGTCTGACCATGTATGCTCATCTGACAGAACACCTCCACTCCCTGTTGCATTCAATTTGAATGTATAAATTTTATTCTAAAATCGATGCAAATCTTTGTATTGCAGTAGATGTCATTTCATGTAGACTCATATGTTAAAAACAACCTTTAACTCAAGTACAACTGTTCTGTTATTGACCTCCTAACGTCCACTAAACTTTTTTCTGTAAAAGAAATGTAACTAAAGCTTGTTTTTAATTATTTTGTAATTTTCATTGGTTGTTAGAAGGTTTCTGGTCTTTTAGTTAGAAACCTGTTTCTCTAAGACACTCTCAGAAAATGCACTAATATTTGAATCAGATGGTGTTAATCTATGTATATATATATATATATATATATACATATATATATATATATATATATATATATGTATATATATATATATATATATATATATATATATATATATATATATATATATATATATATATATATATATATATAAAATATGATTATAAAACAACATGGGAATAATCCCTGGTGGAATTTTAAATCTCATTTTATTTGTTTACACAGCTATAAAACAAAAAGTATTTGTGAAAAAATAATTTTGAAACATGTTTTAGAAATCTTAAAGCCCCATTTGAAAGGCATGTGGATGAAACACCATGTGACTGTGTTTTGGCCATTTCTATAAATAGATAAACATCAGCTGAGCCCGGAACCGTGCCCGCCAGGCTTAAGGGTTTAATCAGTTTCCTATTGACAAAAGGAGAGTTGCACAAAGTACTTATATTAGAAATAAATATAGAAATAAATAAGAAATAAGAAATTTGGCACCAGTAAAAACAATTATTTCTTAATATGGATTCTTATCCCTTTTCTGAATGGATTCATTTAAAGGTTTGATATTTTTATATCAAAGTATCAATTGCAATGAAAGGTTAGTTCACTTAGTTTTGTTGTGAAAGTGACACTTAAAGAAGATGCTTTATATAACTTAATGTCTCCACTTTTTAAGACAGAGTCAATTTATCCAAGTGAATATTTAGTTGATTCGATGCTTTATCACATATTAAAGCTGCAGTATTACAGTATTTTGTTTATTTTCTTTACTCTAATTTATTCTGTTATTTTATACACTTTTTTTAAGGTCCACATTTGTGTGAACACTTTAGCTGTAATCGTTTGCTGTTTTAACACCACAATTTCCCCCATTGTGGGACAATAAAGAGATTTTTTTATCCTCTTCCGTGTTACCTTCAGCTTACCATTTGTTGTTCTATTGCTGTAGATATTTAAATTAGATTCTTCATCTGATCTTATTTCTGACACGTTTCTGCCAGGACGTCAGTGACCAGAACAGCCTCCGCTACCCGAGTCTGTACAAACCGGGCCAGCAGAACCTCCTCTTCAACAAACGGCAGTTTTTCCTTTGCACCCTGCAGGGGATGGTGACGTCGTTCCTGCTTTTCTTTATTCCCTACGGAGCCTTCTCCATCATGGTGAAGGAAGGCGGCGCGGACTTCTCCGACCAACAGACTTTTGCCGTCACCATTGCAGCATCGTTAGTCATCATCGTGAGCGTTCAGGTGAGAGTCTGAACAGAACCTGTTTTTTGCAGCAAAATACAATAATAAAGAATGGAAACGCTTTCTTTTACACAACATCTATAACCATTTAATAACATGGTAATAACATAGCAAGTTACACTATATTAGTAGGTAAAACATAAACACATTATGGAGCATTTTGGTACGTGCTGTGCTTTAAATTTGATCAGACAAGGTTAATTCAGACTTTTTAAATGCCAAACTGTTATTATCAGCTAACAGTCATATCACTGGCAGAAGTAAATTAATGTGTTATTATCCAGTAAAATGCAGTTTTTTACTGGACATATAACAGAAAACCAAACCTAGAAGATGGCACGCCTATCTCCTTAACTAAACTCTTATTTACAGTATATGTATTTATATACACTCTCCGGCCACTTTATTAGGTACACCTTTCCAACTGCTCGTTAACACTTAATTTCTAAGCAGCCAATCACATGGCGGCAACACAGTGCATTTAGGCATGTAGACATGGTCAAGACAATCTCCTGCAGTTCAAAGCGAGCATCAGTATGGGGAAGAAAGGTGATTTGAGTGACTTTGAACGTGGCATGATTGTTGGTGCCAGAAGGGCTGGTCTGAGTATTTCAGAAACTGCTGATCTACTGGGATTTTCACGCACAACCATCTCTAGGGTTTACAGAGAATGGTCCGAAAAAGAAAAAACATCCAGTGAGCGGCAGTTCTGTGGGTGGAAATGCCTTGTTGATGCCAGAGGTCAGAGGAGAATGGCCAGACTGGTTGGAGCTGATAGAAGGGCAACAGTGACTCAAATAACCACCCGTTACAACCAAGGTGGGCAGAAGAGCATCTCTGAACGCACAGTACGTCGAACTTTGAGGCAGATGGGCTACAGCAGCAGAAGACCACACCGGGTGCCACTCCTTTCAGCTAAGAACAGGAAACTGAGGCTACAATTTGCACAAGCTCATGGAAATTGGACAATAGAAGATTGGAAAAACGTTGCCTGGTCTGATGAGTCTCGATTTCTGCTGCGACATTCGGATGATAGGGTCAGAATTTGGCGTCTACAACATGAAAGCATGGATCCATCCTGCCTTGTATCAACGGTTCAGGCTGGTGGTGGTGGTGTCATGGTGTGGGGAATATTTTCTTGGCACTCTTTGGGCCCCTTGGTACCAATTGAGCATCGTTGCAACGCCACAGCCTACCTGAGTATTGTTGCTGACCATGTCCATCCCTTTATGACCACAATGTACCCAACTTCTGATGGCTACTTTCAGCAGGATAATGCGCCATGTCATAAAGCTGGAATCATCTCAGACTGGTTTCTTGAACATGACAATGAGTTCAGTGTACTCAAATGGCCTCCACAGTCACCAGATCTCAATCCAATAGAGCATCTTTGGGATGTGGTGGAACGGGAGATTCGCATCATGGATGTGCAGCCGACAAATCTGCGGCAACTGTGTGATGCCATCATGTCAATATGGACCAAACTCCCTGAGGAATGCTTCCAGCACCTTGTTGACTCTATGCCACCAAGAATTGAGGCAGTTCTGAAGGCAAAAGGGGGTCCAACCCGTTACTAGCATGGGGTACCTAATAAAGTGGCCAGTGAGTGTATGTTCAGTTTTATAATACTTTATTTAGCTGATCATAAGTTACAATTTACTTTGTAAGCCATTGGTAGGCGATGGCAGATAATAGAAACTGTTATGCAGTAACCTGAAGGTAATTACGCAGCAAAAGTCTCCATTGATACATAGTAATGAAACATGCAGGTAATGTTACCTTGAAATTATATACCTTAATTTGGGGTAATTACCAAATAAAGCTTTACCTAGTAATATAGTGTGACTACCCTGTTATCACATGGTTGTTGATGTACTGTAAAAGAAAGCATTACCTAAAGAATCCCCCCGTACTGATTGTGATTTCTGTTTCTAGATTGGACTGGATACCCACTACTGGACGGCAGTCAACCATCTGTTTGTGTGGGGGAGCCTGGTTGTGTATTTCGCTGTACTATTTGCAATGCAGAGCGACGGCTTGTTTGGCATTTTCCCAAATAATTTCCCGTTTATTGGTGAGTTTGGCTCAGAGTGATAAGAAAACAAATGGATGGAAACCGAACAGGAATTAAACTTTGATTATGGTCGATTCAGGCACGGCTCGTAACTGTCTTTGGGAGAAGAGCGTGTGGTTGGTCGTCCTGCTCACCACTGTGGTCTGTATTTTGCCCGGTTTAGTCGTCAGCTTTGTA